TTTTCTTATTAAGAAACTTTTAAGCTTATAGAAGTTATTTTTTTTAAAATTTTAGCCAATACTAAGTTTACTTGTATATTATTAATAATAACAGGTTATATTATAGTAATTATTAGTATTGAAATAGTTAGAGAGAAAAAGCTATTTCTTATTTTACTTTTTTGTTCTTATGATTTAAATAAACTATTACGTTTATTAATTAATTATTTTTACATAATAAAAATTTACTACTCGGACAAAAGTTGTAAAGCAATTTAATAGTTTAAAGTTATTTTACTATTTATATTATCCTAGATCGACCAATGTTATAAGATATCATACATTCATATTATATTTTTTCATTAAAAATTTTTATTATATTTTAAGTTTTTTTTAAAATTTTCTTTGTTACTTTTATGAACATTTCTGTATTTATTTGCAAAATACTTTAAACAAAAATAACTATATTTCTCATTGCTCTCTTTATATATATTTTTTACTTACTAAATCCTACTCTTTTTTATTATTATTATTTTTTGTTTAAATATAGTTCTCATTATTAAGTCTTTATGCCTTATTAATTAAACAAAATGTGATAACTATATTTTTCTAAAGTTAAATATTTTTTTAATGCAATTTTTTTCACTTTAATTTTACTTAAATATCAGTAATTAAAATAATATTATTTTAATAATTAGCAAATTACTTATTCATAAAGTCTTATTTGTTACCTACTAGTCAAAACTTCCTATATTTTTTTGCGTTTAGTATTGTATATAAACATGTTAAATTAATCTTATTTTTTATTTTTTAATTTATACAAAAAGATAATAAAAATCTTTTCTACTTTGAAAGTACCTAATAAATTTTTTTTTGAGTATTTTATTTGCTTTTTTTTGCTCTCAACTAGGCAAGTAACAGTTCTTCGCTTTTGATTTGTTTAATTAAAACTTAAGTGAGTAGCTTTTCTATTCTTTTTACTTACCAACCTTTTTTTTAATTTTTTTATTGTACGATAAAAAAAGGGATATTAGTTTACTCATTAACAAAATTTTTTGGTCCCTATTTAGGCAAGAAAATAGTTAAATTAAAAAATTTCTTAAAGTGATATTATTATGAAGTATATATAGCTAGAATAATGAAATAATTTTTTAAAAGTTAATTTATAATAAATAGATCAAATCTTATTAAAACAAAAAGCGACGTTTCCCTTAGCAAATGAACTTTCTACCCTTTTCTTTGTAGCTTTACCAAATTTTATTTTTTTTTAAGAAAAGATTATTAAAATATCTTTAAAAAATACTTTCAATGTTTTTTAAACTAAAGAACTTCTTTTCAAACTGTTTATACTATAATAACCCTTTGTAATAATGAAACTACTACTGCATTTTACTAATAAATGTTTTATATATTTATTAACGACTTTTCTATATAATTAACGCGTGGGCTTTACAACTTACATCACTATAATATAAAATATTATTTATTCAGTTTAACTATATTAAAAGTTAAAGATGAATTGGAAAAGAAGTTGTTGTGAAAACCAAAAAGGATTTTCATGTTTTTTTTAATTTATTTTGTTTAGGCTCTTTGTGGCTTCGGAACCCGCCATTTTAAATTTGCCTAATTGGCACAAAATTGTGCATAGTGACTTCTCATTGGATTCTTCAGTTTTGAGCAAAATCTCCGACGCCTCTTCGCCTGAGCGCTCTGGTAAGTTTTCATTTTGGAAGAAGGGAAGATGGGCCTTCATTGAACAAAGAATAATCTTTTTTGAATACATTGTAAACCGTATTGGATGTCTAACATTCATAGTGAGCTGTTTACATAGTAGTGTTCCACTAACTTTTATAAAAGTAACTTATTATTATCATATATTTTTCTTTATACTGATTTATTTTTAATAATATTATTTATTATCTAAAATGAATTTTAACAGTATTTCTTCTAGATTTTATGTTTTTCATTTTAGTAATTTAAATTCTGGTTATATATTAAAACTGCAAGTTTTATAATTTTTAATTTAAATTTTACTTATTATCCCGCAGATCCTCAAGATCTTGCTAAAACGGATTTTGCTTCTGAGTGTTCTACTTCCTATCTGGTTTATTTTATTTACTTTTAAAACTTATCAAAAATTGTAATTATTAATAGATTAATATGTTATTAATTGACTTTCTTATGAAATTAATATAAATTACTTTATAACATTTTATCACAAAACAATTAATAAGAAAACAGTTCTTTATATAATATTTAATACCTTTTAATTAGTTAATTTTTTTTCTATAAACTTTTTTATACGAAATTATTTTACTAAAAATATTCTTTTTTTAAGAAAAAACTTTACGTTCTCTTATTACTTTAATTTTTATTATAATTATCATAACGCTCAGAATTATTTCTTAGAGATCATCGGGTTATTATTTTTCAATTTCTTTTTAGGAAGTAAACTGTAAAAGTTTTATTATGAGCATTATTATAATACAGAAAACATTAATTCTTTATTGAAGGAATTTTTGAAAGTTTTATTATTTAAGTAATCTAAAGAAAATTTTGCAGGATGAAAAAATTTCTTGGCAGAGTACTTCCAATCTACCGGGAGAAGGCTTTTTATTATAAATCGAAAAATACTTACCCTTTAACTTCTTTAAGATTTACTACTGAAAAGCATAATATACTTAAATTTTTTATAACTTATAAATTAATAAACTTTTAAATTAGATGAATCTTAATTTTTTTTGACGCAGAAAAAAAAATCCCAAGTTGTATTGAAGGTAAGCAGAAACCTCGAAGCCGCTCTACAGACTACAGTTGGTTTTTTTAAAAAAAATAATTATTAATAATTTTTAAAAATATTATTCGTTGGTACCACATCCGATTGCTCAACTTTAGAAAACTTTATCATGATTCTACTTGATTTTTTTTGCTGTAAATTTCAAAAGTTATTTCTTTGTTATAAACTTGTGTTTGTTTTTTATTATAAGCGAGAGACTTTTACATAAATTATTTTTTTAATTTAATATATTTTAGAAAGTTTAATTGGTGCTTAAGTCGTCCTTTATAAGAAACTCGTTATGAGTAAAGTTAAGAAATTTACAAAAATTAGAAACTCAATTCATAATTTTTTCTTGCAGATTTTTAAATCGAAATTTAATTTTTTTTTATTTTGGATTTTTAACAACGTAAAAATATTTTATTTTAAAAAGTACACAAATTATTTAAGATTATATAAGGTTAGTTTACCTTGTTAAAATCGTGAAAAATTAGAGACAAATTTATAACAATTAGAGCGTAATAAATAATAATTTGTTAAAATTAGATTGCTTTTTAGTTTATTTATTTCTTGTACAAAAAAAATTGTGCAAAATTTTAGAACATCCTACCAACTCGTTGATTTTAGCAGTTCTTTTTATATTTTTTTTACTATTTTCAAATTCAATTGACTATAACTTATAAAAGTTCTTTAGAAATTCATCAGTTTGGAATTGCTCTCTTTTGCTATATTTTAGATTTACAGTTAGAAAAATAATTTTAAGGAAAAAAATAATTTAAATCCTTTAATTTAAACGTCAATAAGATTACTAAATACCTTTTTTTAATTTTTGTTACTCCCCTATTTTCATCTTTTTTTTAATTGAAGGCAGTAGTTTACGCAAAAGTAATTTAATTATAATCCCTTCTTGACAGAACGATAGCTAAACTCATTATAGCCACAGAAATCTATTAGTAGAGCGCTATGTTTCACCGCGAATTAATTTTTACACCAAACTTTTCAATTAATTTTTACAAATAAATTTTCATAATTAAAAATATAATCCAAGACACAATTGAAATTAGAAGAACATTTGGAAAATCTAATTAATTGAGATTCGCTTCCGAATTAATTTTTAAATCAATTATTTATCGCTTAAAAATTGAGCAACTAAACAAAAGGATAAGTAATTTTTGTCGTGCGTTTTGCTGTCTTATTTTTCATACAATAATTTTAATTTCAAAGATTTAAATTCTTTTACTTATATTCATAGTTATATAATATCGGTTAATCAGTTGACACTACTACTTGTGGGTCACGGCTTGCTCTTTTTAACTAAAATTTTTTTATGTGCTTGAAAAATAAAATTTAAAGAAAATAAAATATTTTTAAGCTTTTAATAAAAATTTAATATCTTTAACTGTAATAGTTATTATGGAAAGTTTCCGGAATAAAGCCGTTTCACTGGAAACAGATTATCTTTTTTCTACACTTGAAAACAAAAGTTTGGATCTTTTCCAAGGGAACTCAAATAGAAAATTTGAGACACGGGAAAGTTATAAAGTTTACTTGCAAAAAAAAGTCAAATTTAAACAAAATGTACTTTATATAAAAAAGTTAAAGTAATCTTAAATATTTGCGTGAAAAAAAAAACCGTTCGTCGCAGAAATAATTAGTCGGGGAGCGTCTCTTAGATTTTAATTTAGAGGTATAAAGCGGAATTAAACAGGAACTAAAAAAAAAGGAGGAAAAAAGATTTAAATAATTATTTGCTTTTTACTTACCTCCGCACAAAAATTACAAAACAGAATATTTACAGTTTACTAGAAGTTGTACATCAGTAAACAGCCCTATAATTTCTGCCACTTAACTGCAGAAGATCTCTTATTACTGATGTAAAATCCTTGAAGTAATTAAGTTTCATCTTTAAAAGTTACCTTCCCAAGCATTCTGACATAGTGTTTTTTGCTAATATTTTACTGTATAGAAAGGGACTTTTTGCTTTGCACTAAGGTAGAATTGTTTAGTAAAAATAAATTTATTGATAAAATGTGCCTTAAATAAAGATTAAGAAACTTTATTGTCTTTAATTAGTCTTGAACCAGCTTGTCCTATATTTTTTTTATAAAAAATGAAGTTCAAATTAACTTTTTAGCTGGGCTAAGTGGAAGCATGACGCTCCGATTAGTAACGCAATTCTTTAATAACTAGTAATAAAAAGCTTTAAAAAAAGTTGCTTTGCCTTTTAAAATAAAGAATACCTTCTAAACAGAGACTAACTTTTATGGTTTTGAAGTCCATTAATTCCTTTTAAAAAAAACGAAATAAGGTCAGATGGGTTAATTAAAATATTTTTATTACAGACGAGAGTCCCATTAATATATTAGATAATATAAATTTAATAAAGATTTACTAATATCGCTTGTTTTTTTATTAAGGAAGTTAATAACAAACTATTGGAAATACGTAATTTGAATCTACATTTCTCTTCTGAAATGGAAGAAACTAAACATCTTGAAAATCTTGTTACGGACTTGGAGTCTAAATGTGAGATGCTGGAGTTAGAAAAGCAAAAAGTAATTCTAAAATTATTATAATTAATGAGCACTATATAGAAGACAATAGGCACCATTTTTAGAGTTGAACTTTAAAAAGCAAAGTATACTAACATTTACCTATAAAAATTATGTTATTTTACATTTTTAAAGTTTTGAACTTCACTTGTATTATCTAAAATCTGTTGTTGTACAGTAAACTATAGCCGTTTCATAGAAACGCTACATAAGAATTCTTTAACAGTTTTAAAAAAACTTATCATTGCCGCCTTACTATAGTAAAAACTATATTTTTAATATTATTAAACTATTAATTCAAACTTGGCTTGTTTCATCTCTCGTTGGTCGCGCACAAAGCGATCCTTAGTATTATCTAGCATATAACTAATTGTCGGACTATTCAAGTTTTTTTTGACTTTCAGATTGAAATACGCAAAAAAGTAAGGTTCGTTAGGTTTCATAAGACAAACGCCGACTTGTTAGTTACGGAACTCCTTAAAGTGTTGTGTTGCCATCTTTTAAGAAGTCTTAAAAATGACAATAAACAACACTATTCCAACTTTATAAGTTATTTATTGTTCTAATTAAAACCATTTATTTCTAACCTATGCAATTGAAAGGCTGATCTCATTAATATAAATTAGAGAAATAGTACGGTCTTAAAAATAATTGATTCTCTTAAATATACGTGCGTTGTGATGTAAAAAATACACTCTTGAAAATATTAAATAAACGCGCTACAAAAGAACTTATCTAATAGATATCACAATTAATTATAATATTAGTATCATATTTCAAACGCTAATAAAAAGAATTTTTTTATAAAATGGATACATTTTACTCTAACTGTAATCTCTAATTGGACTTATTTTATTATTTTATATATTTAGCTACTTGAAAGTCTCCGGAAAACTGCAAGTGTAAAAAGTTCCCTTCAGCACAAAGAAGAAGAATTACGAGAATTATATGAAAGCTTAAAAAGTGAACTTAATTGAGTTTATTTTTGTGCTTCAGTTAGTGCGATAAAAAGTTATTTAACTTAAAAATAACTATTGTTCTTCCAAAATATTGCTTATAAATAACAATCACCGTTTAAGCGTAATAGGAACTTTGTTAAAAGTAAAAGCAGAGAAAACTTTCATATTAATAACCCGATTCAGCTTTAACGCAAAAAAAATTGTTTTGAAACTTGCTTGTTAGCGCCATTGACAATTAAAAAAAGTTTGTTAAGATTATGTTTATATGTACAAAAATTTATGCTAAATAAAAAAACAGATTTATATTAAAGTATATGGTACTCTATATAATAAGAAATAATTATTATTTAAGTTAATTTGTTTAAAAAAATATTTGCTTTGTTAGACAAGCAATGTGATAATATTATTGTGTCGTAAATTTTTTATAAACTTTATTGTCATAAAAGTAATTAATAAATAAAAAAAATTTTGTAAAGGGCTCGCTTTTAATATTAAACTGTTGTTGAGTAGGAGTGTGTAGTGGTAAGCAACAGAAGAGCACCAAGAAAAACGTTTGTATCGTTACTGACCAAAAATAAATATATTCGATACTCAACTCTGGTGTATATATTAGATACTAAATTGTTTTAAATAGTGAACAAAAGAAAAATAATAAATTAAATTTTTATACGACATAAAAATTTTATCAGTTTAGAGTAACTAATATATAAATATTTACTAAAGTCTTATCCTTTTTCTAAAATGTCCTTTCTTGTAGGCCTTTTAACAATCCCTTCTAAAGATAAAAGTATAGAGGTACTTTTAAGTCTCTTTTAATACTAATTAATACCTTTATTTTTATTCTTACAAGAATTATTTTCTATAAGCTGAGTATATATGCATATTTATTATATTTATATTTTTCATAGTACTTCTTCATATTTATCCCAATTCACTTATAAAACTTGCCTCTTTATAGGAAAGCTTGAGTGTTAATGTAAGAAATGCGCCCGAAGTCCAGACTTTTCAAGAATTGGGTAGAAATGTGCTTAAAAAGTTTTTTAAATTAATAATACTCTTTTGTCTACAAGTATAATTTTTTAGTTACTTTTTTCTACGAGTCAATAGCACCATTGACCTATTACTTAAAAAGTTTAATTAATTGTTTCTCAGACTAAAACTTTTGTGATTATTGATATATTTAAGTATTTTAAAGTAAAACTTCCACTAAACGTAAAACAATTATTCTCATTTAACTACGTAACGGAATTTTTAGTGACTCAGAAATTGTGAAGACTTGGTTAATCTTTTAGTAAAAAATAAAATTATTTATTTAATTCTTATAATTTTCGTATAATTACGAAAAGAGTAAAAAAGAATCGCTTTCTCACTACTACTTTATTGTATCTTTGTTACACTGTACCTGCCTAATTTAGGTTATACGGCACAAATGGTAAGTTTTTTTGGTTTAACTATAATTACTTGTATCTTTAAAATAGCAAAATATTCCCGAATATTTTTAACCTTTGTTGAACTGGTAGCATTAATTTTTAAATTGCAACAAATTACTAAAAAAGGAAGCATCTTTATTTAGAAGTTGTCATAAAATAATCAATTAATAATGCTAGTGAATAAAAATATTTGTAAAATTGAGTAAGAGTGCATTCTGCATATTCTTTTTTGTGCCTCTCCACGAGGAAGTACTATAACTGTTCTTAAAGAATGGATGGGCTTGCGGAAAAATAGATTAAAAATATATAACACATAATATTATATATATATATGAGTTGAAATAAAAAGGATAAAAGAATATTTTCATATCAATCTTTTATATTATAAATCAAATTTTTAAATTTTCTTTTAATATAACAAACATAATATTAATTTTCAAAAGTAAAAGTCTATAAAACTGGAAGGTCTTTTAAAAATATATAATACTATCTTACAAACAATTTTTTCCACAGAAAAAAAATGTGAGAAGAAAGACCTAATTACTCTTTTGCATGATGATTTTACAAGGGCTCCTACTTTGGGTTTTACCTATTGTTCTTGTCTATTATTACTTATAATAACCTTTAATATATTTGTGTTACTTGCTAACCATAATTTACCAACTTGTTTAATGCATATTAGTATTAAGTCTGTTCTTTTATTATTTGATATCATAAATAACGTCGTGGCCGAACGTAAACAGCATAAGTAAAAGTAACTTTTACTATAAGACTTTTAAAAGTTTTATCCTAATAAAACTTTCCTTTTGTTTTTCACCAGCCGCTGCAGTTGTAGTCATAAAATCTGCATGTCTGTGCAGATCGAGTATAAAAGTTTTTATCATACTGTACCTAAAAGAGTTTTGCTCAGTTCATAGGCTCATTCTTCGCAGTTGCTAATAATAAAAAGTATTTCACTATTTTTGAATATTAACTTATAATACAAGAAAAGTGGTCCACGTCGAAGGCGTTTTACATAGTTAGGCTAACCACTATATGTTATACAAGCTTTCAGGGTTAAGGGATTTCTTTAAGTTAACGTAAATTTTAGTAACTAGAATAATTTTTTATTTAATATTGTAAATGATTTTAAAAAAAAAGTTTAGTTTATCTCCTAAAAACCCAAACTGCATTTTAAGGTAGTCATTTCCTCCAACTAAGCGGAATTTCCAGATGTAAAAAATCGTTAATGGGGTTTTTTTATTATAACTATGAAAATTCTCGTAACCAATCGTTTACTACTCAATAATAATTTATAGTAATAATTTTTTTTCTCTTTATTTTGAGTACGGATAATAATACTTTTAATTTTTCAGCTGAATCCAGAGAACATTCAAACCCCTTTGACGATCCCTTTGGGCTTTTTTACAATTTTAGCGATAGCAGCAACAACAGTTACTGCAAAGATTTATGGAATCTCGATCTATTCTCAGAAACTTCAACTACCATATTGCCTAAAACTACTTACGAATTTAAAAAAATTATAAAGGAAACTTCCGATGATCCATTCGCTGTAAAAAAATTTTTAAAATTTTATAAACTTAGACTCTACATATTAGGTTTCATTCTTAAAATATTATTATACACAGGAGCTTCCAGACTTTATTGCAAAACATCTCTCAGAAGAGTCAATTATTGAATCTCTTTTTACTTCTCAACCCAATAATACTAATATTAATTAAACAAACAGAATGGAACATATAAATTACTATTAAACAGTCTTTATAAAAATTTTAACTTTATTTTGTCTTATTTCTACCTTAATACTGATTTTAGCAACTTTATATATACATAAATTTTTTTGTCAATTAATAATTTTCTTAATGTAGCTATTATACAAGCTTCTATCAATTAAAAAAGAAATATATATCTCAAACTTTTTAATCGCATTTAATAGATCATCGCTTAATATGCAGTATAATCTTCTCATGTTTAATTTTAAGCGACTTTCTATATCGAATTTTACGTTTAACAATTGCCAAACCCCATGGGTAATAGCAGTGAAAGAAAAAGAGCACTTTTCAGTTAAGCTTCAAAATTTACACTCTTCTAGATAATTTTAAGGTGAGCGAGTTAACTCCATGTCTGTATCACGTGATTGGATTCCGGTTTCCTTTTTGCCCTTTATACTATTAACATATTAACAACCTTCATAATGAATAACGATACGTTTGGGTTGACACTTTTAGGGTGGTTTAAATGATGTTTCCATATTTGCGGTATCCTTTAGGCACTGCATTACATGTCTTTTGATTTGTTGTAGCAGACAAATTAATTGTTATTGCAGTTGTAAGGATAAATGCTTAATTTTCTCATCCAATAAGCGATAATATCGCTTCGTTTTTTTTAAATATACCTTACTATTAAGGATTGGCATCAAAACCTTTCTTATATAGTTTTTACCTACAGAAAAGAGTTATCAAGATTATATAATTTCTAATTTTATAAGCTACAGAATAACCATTTACTGCGATAATTACATTTTTATTTACACTTTACACCAGTTACAACTCTTTAACTTTGATCAAAGTAAATTATTCGCCCGAATTGATAACGAGTGCTCCCTTGCTTACAATCCTTAGTAACGTTACATATTAATTTAAATGGGTAAGTCTTATCTCATTGAGAGCTACTTTTTTTTGCAAAATCTTAAGGTCTCTCCAATAAAATCAGAAGAAAAACGAAAACTAGTATAAATATAGATTTATAACAGAACTAGAGTAATGATAAAATAAAACGGGTTTAAAAAAAAATTTACTTGATGAGAACTGATATTCTCTTTTTGTTCAGAGTTAAAAATTTAAATTGTATAGGCTGACCTTTAAACCATAATTGATTGCATTAAATTTCTAACTAGATTAATGATATATCTTGATACTCTAAAATGAGGGCACTAGGAACTTTATCGAGACTTTTGCTTATAAGCTTTGGTTTACTAATAAGGGAGAAATCTCCTTTCATTTTGCTCAGAGTAATAAGAGGTAATTTTAAACCCCTGCCCAATATCGTGTCTAGGTTTCGCTTGGAGAAGCAACTAAGAGCTTACCTAAATGATCGGAAACATGAGCGATAGGAGTTGTGTTAACAACTCAGTTTTGACAAAATATTTCAGTCGGATATGTACGATTATTAAACGATAGTTTTACAAACTTATATGGAAGAAGGGATAACTGTTAATAACTTATTAATAGTGAAGTACAGTAATTATTAGTATAAATAAATGTAGACACCAACAATAAATTGCTTACCAAAAAAGGTTACAAGTACCATAAGTTTAAATGAACAAAGAAAAAGTAGCTTGGTTACTTCCTTTATCTAAAATATCTTAGCCTCCTATTGCTACTCTACGTACATAAATTGATAAAGATAGCATTTATACTTAGATAACGTAATCAAACAAAAAATATATATTATATGTAAAAGTTACTTTTAATGTTATAAAACTTTTAAAAGGATTCTTAAGTATATTTATGAGTTGTTAGCAAGGAGCTTCAAGCCAATCGTCCTCCTAGGAAAGCTTTAGCTTTTAAAAAAGAAGTTAGAAAATAGTTAAGCTAGTTTGCGCTTCTTCCTTAGCTTATAAGCGTGACGGTAAACATGGTCCTCTACAAGTCCAATCCATATTTGTTTGTTATAGGTATAATATCTGGCTTCTTCTTCGTTTATTGGACTAGAAAGATCCGGATTATGAATAAGATGACAAAGAGACTTAAATACTATTTACGTGACAACAGATATATGTTGATTAAAAAAAACCCAATAGTAGTAAAACTTAAAAGTACCATCTAAGACTTTAATAGTAGGTCTCCAGTTCTCATCTTTTAAAATGGGAATACAAATAGTCCCATTCTCATCAATATTCGGATGTTTTATGGGAGTTAAAAAAGCAAGTTTGGGGGGTCGGAAAGGGTAATTTTCTGGAAATTCGATGGAAAACTCAAAAGCGCCTTTTTTATAGGGTGGCTGACAGGGAACTAAAAGCCCTTTCCATCTTAAAATATTGTTATCTTTCAACTCAATGTCCACAATTTCAGAAAGATTAGAGTTTATTACTTCGTAATACTCCTAAATTTTTTAAAATTAATGTCTGTTGATTGCCCTAACTATAAAAACGTAAAATCTAACTGTTAGACACTAAATTAAAAATTACAATACAAACCACAATAATAAAAACTTTTATGTTAAATATATGAGTTATAAGACGGCTAAAGAAGAAATGTTTAAGTTATAAACCTTTTGGCACCTGCGCGTGCTGGTCATGACTACACAAAGAACAATAGGAGGGCGCCACGGAGTGGACTCAAACTTAAGCAATACAATATCTTTGAGCCTAAAACATTGCACACGAGTTTAATAAGTTTAGCAGTAGTGTATGTTCCGCGTCTGTTTCTTATTAGTAGTGACCATTAACGCGCATCTACTTAAAAATAACTATTTACAGTTAAACATAGAGGGGGAAAGTTCATTTATTTTTGGGAGGTATATAGGGGGAACATGTGCTCAGGTTAACTTCAATTAACTACAAAGTTTGCTAAAAATGACTTTAGCAGTTCTAATAAACCAAAAACCTTTGTTTCTCACTTCAGTAATAAAAATTTATTTTTTACGTAGTTGAAGCCTCGTATACACTTCGTCATACCTGTTTTATTTCTATTTAATTTAAGATTATTGATTTTTTTTCATATCCATCCAAGGCAAAGGGAATACACTGACTTCAGATTAAAGCTGCGATCCAACTGTTTCCTTTTTAAACATTTCAAGGACCACTAATGTGACAATTTATTTTCCAAGTTTGGTAGTAAAAATATATTCTGGAAGATGTTGGGTACGTACTATTGAAAAGGTTATCCAACTAAATGGTTGCAAAACTCAAACCTCAAAATTCCTATCACAAAAAAGATTGTTATGTTAAAAATAAACTCATTCGTTAAGAGTGGAAAAACTTAAATTGATAGCAAACAATTTTTTTTAAAAGTTATAAGCTTGGCTAGTGCTCTTTAATTAAGATGGTTACGCACTAAACAGGTAAAATTAAAAGAACAAGAATGTAAGCAAAGAAACATGAAGAAAAAAATGTTGAAGCATTCTTTTATTAACATATTTAAGCCTGTATTTAATTTTTTAAATGTACCTCAAATTAAACCCAAATATTTAAAGGACTATTGCACTCCTTTTATAGATATTTTACAATGGTAAAAAATACTCATGAACCTAAATTGTTTGTAATTCGTTCGTAATCTTGTTTCGTGCTTCTAAGCATTTCATAATGAAGGTAATTTGTTAGCTGTTCTTCTTAGCACACTGGGTTATCCGACAGAGATTTTAAATTTATTACTTACCATGGTGAAAGCCCCCTTTTAACTGAGGACAGTCACTTGTTTTTTGGTTTCTTTAACGTACCGGCGGCCCCACTCGCCTGGTCATTTAATTAATAAGTTATCCTACGCTTCCACTATAAAGAAACTGTCTTATTAGTTTAGTGGGCTTTTCTTGCGAGCAACTTTGATTCCCATATAATCGTAGTTGATAACAAAGTTGTTTTATAAATAATGACTCTAAACGCAAGTCACTGCCGGAAGGCAGTTAGACTTTTACAACAGTTCACTAGGTCTGTGTCCTGTGGTTAAAAAGCAAAAGCCATGATATATTATTCTAGTACACAAAGAAAAACAAGATAAAATTTTTTAATTGATTTCTTGTTAGGCACGGGCATACTACGACCAGTCTTCGTAAGAGACCTTAAACCGCTTAATCTGAATTTCCCTCTTATGCAGAAGTTAGGGCACGAGTACCAACAGTCTACTCTCTTTATAGAACTATAATGACCGTTCCGAAGGGAGTGATAAAGCGGGAAATATCAGGCCCGGGTTCCCACCATTTTACCTAGCTGGAAAACTGCTAAAATCACCACTAGGGGGAGGCAGCTCCTGGGCGCAAGATCTGGAGCTATTAGGATTTAGAGAAAATAAAGAAAAATATGAACTAACTTAAAAATATGTCTAATTTTAAACAAAAGTAAATAATAAAGAAATAAAGCTAAATACAAAACAGAGGGACAAGGGGAGAAAATTAGATTAGATTAATCGATGCGATTGTTGTTATTCTTTTAAGTTTAATATATCATCAAATACTCTAAAATATCTAGATTAATTGATAAATCAATGTTTATTGGGTATTGAATTTAATACTTTTTTTAATAAAATGCTTTAAATTTTCATTGAATAAAATCTTGTTAAGGCTATCTGAAAACATCGGTCGGCACCACTGCTAGGCCTCGGCACCACTGCTAGGCCTCCCCGACTATAGAGCTCCTCACCCAGAAGGGAAGAGCCCTCTAATAAATATTATATGTAATATGTTATAAGTGTTATGTGCTGTGTTTACATATTATTATCTAGCATGCGTCACAAGATTTATTTTCTTTGGTGGAATTAATTTTAGTTGCAACCATTTTAAATTAGCATAATTATATGTGTGAATCTAGAACTTAAACAGACATTTAAAGCTTTCGCACTAGGGTCTGATTCAACAAACGAGGATAATGTAATAAACAGAAAGGGGTAAAGGGGAAGAAAAGAGAGGAGAAGGCCACAAACAACCACTCACTTGCTTTATTTTCACTTAAATTTATATTTTCCCTTTTGCAAAAATTACTGTTCCTGAATTCTCACTTAATCGAGTGGATTTACTTATTAGTATGTGTTTTGCATTCTGCCAATAATGATTAAAACGTTTCTTTCTTGGGCTTACGACCTTATGACAATAACTTCCGCACTCCACGTATGACAAAACAGTTACTGCACGTGATGACAAAAGCGTCATGGTTCTTCGCGGCTAGACCCATTGCGCAGACTCTATGCCATTGTTCATTATGACTGGCTTGCCAGACACACTAATTTCTTACCGCTAAGAGAGCTTATTTACGAGCTACAAGGAAGGAGTACGCTATCGCTGTGACTGTTGCACAGATGAAAAATTTTATGAAGAAACCTTAACAATCCAAAGCTACTATGTAGTTTGTCCGCGAATTATTTTTCAGAGAGTTCAAATTTTAAGGGCTATTGACTCGAGCGATCACCAGGAAAAGTCATCTGCAGATATATAAATAAGGGTCTGACTTTATTGTCTTCCTTAAAACGCCTTTTGCTTAGTTTGTTTTATAAATTTTTCTTTTACTGTTTCCAGTTTTTAGAAACAATTTCTTTCTCATGTTCTTTATGTAAGTTACCCTGTCCTCAACTGTGCACAACTCTGACTTAGTAGTGTCTTACCACCATTCTTGCTAGAAGCTCTTATTAGTTTTATGCTTGTTGGTTTCTTCTATATTATCAATCCTTTGCTCTGGAACAGATCTAGCATGCACCCCTATTATTAATTTTATTGGGTATTATTATGTTAAATGCGACCATAGCATGATAGTTTTATGATTTGCGTTTTTAGCGCTTAAACAAATGTTAAGACTTTCAACCTTAATGTAAGGAAGCTAATTCTGTTACTTTTCTATATATAGAGCGCCAGTAGCGTATTTCTCTTTAAACTATTTTTGCTTCTACGTCCAATTTCTGAGTTTTGTTTTTATTTTACGGTCTTTCCTTAAATTCTATTTCCGCCTGTGAACAGCTTTGCTACGGTGGTGCGTCAGCTCCACCTTTGCCCTAAGGCCTTAGTTCTCTTATTTATCTTTGCCCAAAGTTATTAGTTTACTCTTTTTTTTCTTCTTACTATATATTTTAACTCTTATAAGCCTATCGTTGGGCGTTTATTATCGTCTGAGAACCTTACAAGCTTAAGGGTTGTAACACTTACTACCTTCAAAGAACCTTACTATCATAGGGTCGGAACACACACAATAGTTAGCTATGATTAAACCTGTGATACATTTTACCCTCTTAACCATGTTGAGTAAGCTGATATGTTACACTTAGAATTATAAATTCTGGAGATTTATGGTCGTTTGCTTTTAACGTTTTAAATAGCACAATGAAAAGTATTTTTTCGAAGACTCAGCTTTCAAGGGAAATTAAAGATGTAATGCACAGTTTACAGCTCACCGGAAACATCTATATCCTGTAATTACCCCTACCTTTTGCTCGATCCACTGCTACAATATGAATGCAAAGGTAAGAGCGATGCTGGAATGTTATTCCCAAGAAATGTTACTAATACTTATTACACTAAAAATAACGATTAAAATAATTAATGAAGCTGCGCTTTGACCTCTCATCTGTCTATATTGATCCGCAGATCCTGTGCCTCTGTCCGGCATGAGCTAACGCACACTATTTAACAGAAATGATTAGTTGCGAAGGAAAGCAATGGATAGTTTATAATGACTCGAATATTTTTCATGGAGCCTCACAACGGCCGCCTAATGAGTGTTACTTAAATAGCATTATTGGCATTATATCAAAATGTTAATACACCAGTTTGAAACTAGTTGTGTTACATATATCATTTATAGTGTCACGCTAGATCGCATAGCTTGCCTTTGTGAGACATACCGTCAGTATTAAGATGGTTGGTTGTGGTTCACTCCCTGAGCAATGGACTGATTAGTGCTTATTTCTTATAGGGTAGCGTTCTAGAATGGTATGGTTTAACTGCCAAAATCTCCTTAGAGAAGAAGCTAGTTCAACCTTTATTAATTTAATTACCTTTTTGCTAAGAATATTATTTTTTTAATAATTAAAGTCTTAACCAAATCTGTATAAGAGATACCAACTTTTTCGCTCGTGCCTCGATGAGAGTACTTGTCCCGTATGTCCGCTATACTTTTTATATCTTACCGTAGCGTGGGATGTGCTCGGCATCCTCCACTGGACTGTAATCATAGCGATCTTGGCCAGTTTTTGACAAGATTTAGAGTTAAGCTTTAAAGCTTAGACTGTGTAGCTAGGCTTCGTATGTTGGGCTATGTCTATTTTGAAGCATTTGACTGTTAGCTATAGATTGAAGCTTCGTCCATTGGTGTACGCCATATGGCAGGTCGAGGATTGCTTTTTGTTCTAGGCTGTCCTTCGTACAAGTGCTTGTAACAGACTAGCCTATGCGCAATACACCTCAATCATTGTTATTCCTAGTAACTTCTCGTGGGTTACGGTATAAGGTTGTTCACAGGTTGCCATCCGCCAATGGAATGTATGTTGAATGTAGGCTAATCCAGACAAGGGCCATGTAACCTTCTTCTTTTCCTTGGAGTCATGGGTAATTTTTCCTCGGGTAATTGTCTTGTTAGTGAATACTCTTAGCAATATACATCCGGTATCCGATTTGATGCTTAAACGCACTTGTGGCACTAGTAAAATAATTTTTACTATAAAACCCTAAGAAGCGTAATTATGGTGACCTTCCTCTGTCTAGCTAGTGGCTCCGGGTTAGCATTCACGGCGGAGAGTAACAGTTGGTGACACCGCGTGTCGAAAGGTATATGGTAAAAACTCTATGTTTGCCTAAGTCCTGTGCCAGGTTCTATAGTACTCGTGTCTTTAGGTGTTCGTAATCGTTAGTAGCGTTCTTAGGACTCGTTCCTCAGTACCTGTTTACTTATTAGACTCTGAACTTTAACTGACTGACTTCTGTCAGCTTTATGAAAAGTTAAGTGACAGGCTAAGTAATCTTTAAATTCCCTCGATGAAGCTTGCGCACAATATACTGATGATATGGTCTACGCAAGTTGTCTCGTAGAGGGAATCATGCAGATCCTTTCGACCCTTCACTTAACATCCTTGGTAAGATTGAATAAGTACTCTATCTACGCTGGTCTTCCAGGCAAGTAGCAAAGTCGACGCTAAGTCAGGCCTGAGTCCTAGTATGGGTGATGACTGACAACACTATGTCCCGTTCCTGGACCATTAGTACAGTATAATACCAAACCTAGTTGAACTCTGGGTACTCTATTAAGCCTCAGTAATTGTATACTATAGCTTGATAGGTAACTTAGAATTGGGCTGTGTTAGTGTAGCTGATATAGTAAATTATCGTCCTAGCTAACTATGTAAGTTGCTATAAAGACTAATAGTGTTATCTAGCAGTATATATAAGTATCCAGCATGACTCTTAAAATCAGAGGGAAAATCAGCTAATCACGAGAGCGCGACAAACTATAAATCTTTCATATTTATAGCACTTTACGAAAAATAGTTACCAATCCATGAGGCTATTGTCTTGGTAAGTGATGTGTTCTATTTCAGACAAGATGGTAGAAAAACCGTCCAATAACTGGAAGAACAATTTTAGCTAAGAGAACAGTATAGTGCCAAGGCAATCAGTGGTCCCATTAGTTTTTTATTGCTAATTTAATTGAAAAGCAGTTGAATATTTGCACTTTTTAAAGATCTATTTAATGTGTTCTACTAAACAGATGAATACTTAAGTGCAATAGTTCTATTGTCAGCGCTCCGGTTTACGTCTCAATGCAAGATTATGAAAGCCGATAGAAGTCCGCTCTTACTGTTCGAATTATTATAATGTTACGCACTGTCAGCCCCAGCCCCACCCCTTCCTCTTTGATTATCTTCTTTTTTTAACCAAATAGCTGCTACCATGTTATACTTAAATTTGTCATATGTCACTTTCTTTTAGGTACATATGACCCCTCTACAGTACTGTAAACCGGGGGCATACTAGCCTTTAAACTACTAACAGCGAGCTTTTACGAGAACCTGCATTTTATATGCGCAATTAGCCACAGCCCGACAATCCACACATGCGAGGTGCCTTATGCACGGAAATCACGGCGATTTACTCCTCATCAAAGCCGCAAACTTATTGCATCAGGATCTGCAGTATTACTTAGGACGCTCGTCAGCTATTGTCGTCGTAAGAAAATTACTATTAATGCGGAAGAAAGCAGAGCTGTTTTGTCACGAAGAAGCCCACTATACCACCGCCGCTGCCTTTAAAAGCAAAATAACTCATGGTTTCCCAGGCGAATTATTTGGGGTCATAATTTACAAAAAGCTTTTGTGACGCAAGCTATGTTGCAGCGAAGGTTAAGGGAAACGGATCAAACTCTATCCTTCACTTTAATAGGCTACAAGCTACCAAAATTCCAAATTAATATGTAATTGAGAATATTCCCGAACATTTTCAACTTTCCAGAAAATTTCATTAATTTCATGTATGAAAGCAATGCAAATCTAAAGTAAAGTAGTCCCTATTTTGTGTTTCTTTGTTTCGTTTATTACACTTTGTGTCAGTCATATCGTGCGAGAGGTAATTTATTCTAACGATACTCTACTTCAAGACCTTCAGCTCGAGCTCCCTGGTCACCGTTTGCCAACAACATGCTTTTACCCCCTACGAACGGCTTATTCAGCGCGTTTACCGAAGACTTGCAGAAGAGCTCAATTTGAGTTTTTAATATTATAATAGGGGATATATGAAATTGCTTTAATAAAAGCTTGACCCTAATTTTTATGCTATTACCTTGTTGAGAGCTCTTAAATCCGGTGATTTGGAATATCATTGTAAAAAAATTAAAAGAAATAAAAACGGATCACTAGGAGAGCTAACTTTCAAATCGCCGGGTGGTCTCCAGGGGCCTCGAATCTCGTATCTAGGTCGCTCTTCTCTCGGAGTTTGGATTTTTTTTGCGGTTTTTCACCACTAGGTAAAATGGCAGAAGTCCAGAGCCAATAGTTTTCAATTTTTTTAGTCCTTCGGGACACTCTTAGGCCTTAACCCTTAAGGAGAGGGGACATACAGATTAACAGTTAAAATCTTTTTGTAATCGACCGTACACGCCTTGCCAACAAATAGAAAAATTCGGTGTCCCCAGGCGTCCTAGGATCAGTAAATATACTGGTAGGCGTTCAGTCTTACCAATTTTAGTAAGGAAATACAATATATACGGTTAATTAAATCTAAAAGCCCGATCGAGTAAGGCTAACTGATAATAGAAACTGGATCACTTCACTCCAGTGGTCACCCCTTTCATTAAAAGCTTTGCCTTTTCCCTCACCCTAGGCTCATTGGCGTGCCGCAGGCCTGCCTTTTCTTCATTAACACTAAGTGTCTTAAGACGGTAATGTTACTCTTTCGGAGAAATCACTAATTAGAGTTTGTTCTCGTAACTCACACAAGGAGTGGGCGGTTTCATGCGAGCGCAGTAAAATAGTCAGTCTTCTACCTTGGTAGCATTCCACTGCACTAACCCAATTTGCTTGAACCCCATGACGTGAATCATAATATACGAAAATAGTAAACGTCATTGCTAGAGATACGAAGGCTTATGCTTTATATTAAGGGGGCTGCAAATAGTGTTAGGTAGAGCAGTTATTGTTTTTGCACCTACTTAAATTAAGGTATTACGTAGGTGAAAGCTATTAGAACAAGTTACACTTTACTGCACTTTTGTCAAAACCAATAAATCAAAAAGATTTAAACTTAGCAGTCATATATACGCTAATGTTATTTTGTAAATGAAATGCGAACTTAGCATGTCAATTATTAGGGTTAAAGATACCATTAAACGATCCCTTCTATCTCATTTCCACTCGTGGAGCAACAATAAATGCAGTAGTCAGTAAAAATATAATAACTAATATTTACTTTTTTTAGTTAAAAAAAATTTAGTTAGATAAAAAATTACCGGTTAACATAATCTCAAGATCTTTAACACACTAAAATGAAAACCTTGACTTTGTAATTTTTGGCAATTTGTATGAGGTAATATTAACAAATAAAATACTATTAAATTAATAATAAATATAAAAACGTTAACAAAATACTGTAATAAAATAAAAATAATATGGAAAGAAATAGTTATTATAACATAAAATAACAAAAGAAAAAAATTACTAAATATTAATAAATATAAATAAAACAAAATAATAATATTAACAATATAAAATAAAACTCTTAGTGTACAGCTAATATTTTTAATATTATTAAATTTCCAAATAATCTTTTTCTCTTGTTAAAGATATAATTATATTTTTAATGTTTGTTCATGTTATTATAATTTTTGAAACGGTAGGCGACACGCTATTCCTATATTCTGATAACCTTTCAAAACCCTTTCCATCCCTCCTCGTAAGCGACGTGTAGGCCAAGTCTATATACAATAGAGCTATTGCTTGTACTCATATTCGTCAGTGAAAGTGAATATGACTCGAGAAATCGTAACACTCGCCGTAGGACAATGCGGAAATCAAAGTATACATATTTAGTCATATGCTATTATAAATGTTAAATTTTCCTTTTTTATTGAAAGTTGCTTCTGCATTTTTTAACCAAATTACCGCCGAACACGGTATCGGACCTGAAGGTGAATTGCAAGACTTGTCTACTGAAGTAAATGATAGAAAAGACGTATTTTTTTATCAGGTCTTATTTTAGTTGATACTTTCAGTTCTGTAATATGCTCTGTTGTGTACAAATATTTACTCTATTATAATTATATTATTTTTTAGTACACTTTGGTTACTTAAAATTTTAGCTTTGAAGTCTATAAATTTTTTCTAATTAAAATTGTAAATAAGGAAATAATGTTATTCAAAGTGTAATCTTGGTTTTTGATGGAATAATATTAAGATTTCGTCCTTTTAGAGGTGCTCTTTTAAACCCTGCTTAATAAAAAATAAAGTTAATAGCAGAACCGCGTTTGTGAACAAGTTTGTTTGTTTTGTGTTTTATGGTACTCTTGTAAAAAAATTTAAAAAGTTATAGAGGATCTGCGCTACGCAAAGGCTTGTATAAATACAATTAAAAATTATTCTTAGAACGGCACTGAGTTGCACCTGCGTTTTGTTAGCTGTTTTTTAAGCACCAGTTTGTTTTTAAATTTCTATCAAGTATGTAGCGGCACTAAAATTTTCAGGAAAATAGAAAATAAAAGTGGACGTACGACTTCCCAAATTTTGTTAAAGCTAAATTCAGATCCACCTAAACCCTTTAATGTAGTTTTAATTCTTTTATTGATGCCGAAATACTGTTTTTATATATATGTATGTATGTATATGACTTTAGGCCGATGATGACCATTACGTTCCGCGTGCGATATTGTTAGATTTGGAGCCTCGTGTACTTTATTATAGAAACTCTTATAATTCCAAATATTTTTAATACTGTTAACTTACTTATTTTCATATTGAAATAAAATTAAATAAAAAAAAATGTTCGCTATCTGTAACTCCCGTTTCTTTCTTTCATATCACCGATATTAAAGATTTTATTAATTTTTTTTATCATATACAACTTTTTACTTTACTTAAATCTTTAGTCTACTTGTAATTCTATTAGTTTTTTTTAAGCTTACGTATTACTGTAAATTTATTAATTTTACCGTTAATATCGAATAATAACGAGAGCAAAACAAATTTTTGTCTAATAAAAAAGGCTTACTCCTTCCCTTTGTTTTATTGTATTTATTATTTGTTAACATTAAACAAAACTAATTATGAAAGAAATAAAAAAAACAATAAAAGAAAATAAATTATAAATTGATTGTAATTTTTTATTAAAGGATTTTTAAGAATTTACCACGAAAATATATAAGTTAAGTCAACTATATTAATTTTTTTTTTCCGGATAAAAAATATTTATTTTAAGAATTTTTCAAAGATAACTATTATTAAAGAAAACTCATGTATAATATAAAAGTTTCTTAGAAAAACGAATAAAAAAATTTTAATTATTTTTTTTAAAGTAGATTATACTTTGACGTTTTAGTTAACTATTTTTAGAAATCTTAAAAACTATTTGAAATTTATTTCCTTTTTTTAAAGTTTTCTTATTTCTAATATATTTTCATAATATGAAAAGGTCATCGATGCAGTATTGAATTCAAAAAACGGGAGAATTTATAACAAAGAAAATATTTATAAATCTTTGCAAGGAGGAGGTCCCACTCGATTTGATAATATATTCCCAATTTTTAATGCTCTTTTTCCCCTCCATTTTTATTTTTATTTTTTTAACTTTTTTATACTATTATTATTATTATTTTATCATATTTTGCTAGGAATCGAACTTTTCTAGATTGTTTTAGCTGTATTTGGTTATTTTTTACTTCATTAGAAGAAATTGTGTTTTGCCTTTTTAAGATTCATTGTGGCCGTTTGATGGCAACAGGTGTCTGTTTGCCTCCAAAATAGCTTCTTTGTGCGAACAATTTGTTTATTGTTGGATTTATAATTTCTTATATCTCGGTGATTTTTTTATTTTTTAGTTAGTTGTGTTTATTTTAAAAGAAATTGATAAATAGTAATTCAGTTAATTTTGTAAATGAGTTTAAAAAAAATTAATTAACATTTTACTTTTTCTCATTATCTATTATATAATTATTTTTATTATATTAGAAGAGATTATTTAACTTTTTATTTTACTGTCACATAATAAAAAAAGGTTTGTGTTTTGTATAAGTTTTTACATCAAACTTTTATAATAAATTTATTTATTTTTTTATAAAATTTTTATAATCATAACTGCTGATTATTAGTTACTTTACGTTTTATTCTTTTTTTTTCATAAATATATTTCAAATCTTTATAACCCGCTCTTGTAGATTCATTATATCTTATATTTATAAATAAAACTTTAATATGAGATTTTTTTTAAAAAAATATAACTTATATAAACTTGTTTCTTTTCTATGCTTAAAGTTTTATATGAGCTCTCTTTTTAAAACTTTTAATAGTTTAAATAGCTTATTTATTATTATTATTTTCAGGGGCTGGGAACATTTGGGCGGCCGGCTACTGCCAATGCCACAAACATTTTGAGCCAATAATAGAAATGATCAATAGGGAAGCCGAAGGCTGCGACTTTCTAGAGGTTATAATTTTTTATTTATTTATTTATTGGCTGTTTAATGACAAATTTTATGGATAATTGTTTCATTATTATGCTCAAAAGTTTTTTAAAATTTATTTTTTATTGTTATTTTGAACGACTACTTGGAAACTTTTAATATACTAAAACTTTAATATTGTAAGCATTATTATTCTAATAAACTTTATTATGTAGGAAGTTTATATATAAATTTCATAAAATCAAAAAATTTTTACAGTTATGTATAATTATAATTAAAAGTATAAATCAAAAAGTTTTTGTTTCTTGGTACTATAACTTTTATTTTAAAGAATTCGGTATAAGTAAAAATCATAACATAATATATATAGTGGCTTTAAAAAAAGAATTAATAATACTGAATATATTTTTTTTATTTACTTGTATAAATGTTTTTATATCAAAAATTCATTTAAAATAAGTGTTATTATTTTTATTATTATTATTTATACAAGAATTATTTAGAACCAGAAGTTTACGTTTATTATATTTTTATAATTACAGAAATTTATTTTTTATTTAAAAGTTATTTTCAATATAAAAGTTATCAATTTTTGACTAAAAAACTTTCATAATTTTTGTTTTATTTTTTTTAAGCCTAAAAGTTTTAGTCTTGAATATTTTTTTGACAATAAAATTTTGAACTTTTTCTTTATTTTTACTTTGAAAAGTTTTATTTTTAGTTTTATTTATTTTTATTTTTTCAACTTTACAAATTTTGTTAAACTTGAAAGATTTCTGGCTCAAATATATTTGTATTTACAAAACTTTTTATTGACTGAAAGTTTACTTTATCATTCTTATTCTTATATATGCTGGCAACTTTTTATTATGTTTTCAAAAATTCATCAGAAAAGTTAAAGATATTTTCTTATGCTTTTTTTTGCTTTTAACTTTTTTAAATTTTTTTAATTTATATATTATTAGTATGCTTGAAAGTTTTTTGACTAGATTTTTATTTATTATCTAGAGAAAACTATTGAAGCTTTTTTGCTATAAACTTATAAACTTATTATATGAAAATCTTTAAACTTTAGAGTTTTATATATTTTTTAGTTTCTCGGCTTGTATGTTTTAGGGATTCCAATTTTGCCACAGTATCGCTGGTGGGACAGGCTCGGGAATGGGCTCTTATTTGCTGGAAAAGATATCCGGTCTTCCTTTTTTTGATAAGCAGACTATATAATAGTTGTTAATATTGTCGAGGAAAACTTTTATATTTTAATGAATTTTGATTGGCATAAATGTACAAACTAAATTGTATTTCCCAAAGTAACGTCTTTCGATTGGATAATATGGTCGCAATATATAGTACGTGTATTGCAAGCGACCAATGATTAAAGCGTGCGCTTTGAGTCCAACACTGTTAATGATATACAGTCGGCTTTAGATTACTTTCCTAAAAAACTTGTGCAAACTTATTCGGTGTTTCCCAATATTGGCGAGTCCAGCGATGTGGTTGTTCAACCTTATAATGGTATCAAAATAATAATTATTATTATTATAATAATAAGTATAATAATATTATAAACCAGCTATATTGTCGCTGAAGCGGTTGACTTTGCACGCTGACGGTGTGGTTGTATTGGATAATACGGCTCTTAACAAAATAGCGGCCAATCAGCTCCATATCGAACAACCTTCTTTTAGTGATGTCAACCATTTGGTTTTTTTCTTTATTATTACTATTATTATTGCTATTATTAATTTTTACAGATATCGACGGTCATGTCTGCCAGCACTAATACGCTTCGCTTTCCTTCTTACATGAACAATACGCTTCTTGGTCATCTTTTTTCGGTTTTTTTTTGTTATTATTTAACTAATCACAGGGATTTTATCCTCTCTTGTACCAATCCCACGCCTCCATTATCTGATGACTGGGTTCACCCCTCTTATTGGATTGCATCAGGAGGTAATCGATAATTGTGCTTGCACTTCTACATCGTCTATTTTAAATTATAACTTTTTTATAAACTTTACTTTTGCGTCGCTAGAAGAATTTTTTAAGTATCATTTGAGTTTGTCAAAAAAAAATTCTGGGAAAGTACTACGTGAAGTAGACAAAACGATAATAGAACCAATAGAAAAATTCAGTAGATGCAACTGACTATCATATTTTTATATAAGCTAAACTTGTATAATAATTGGCTAGCTGAACTTAAACAGAGACTTGTGATCCCCCTTATCCTTATTATTTTTTAAGCACGCGAGTATAAGAAAAACGTCTGTCCACGATGTTATGAGGAGGCTGCTTCAATCTCAGAATATAATGATGTCCATTCCTTCCGGTTTTTCATTCATTTTCTTCAACTTTCTATATAGTAAAGTTTTTATTATTATTAAAAGGAAGAGGCTGCTATATTTCTATTTTAAACGCTATTCAAGGAGATATCGATCCAACTCAAGTATTATTATTATTAATTTTATTATTATTATTATTATCATTATTAACATTAATGTTTAGGTGCATAAATCTTTGCAAAGGATAAGAGAAGGCAACCTGGCGACCTTTGTGCCATGGGGCCCTTCCTCCATACAAGTTGTTGCTAATAATAATAATAATAATAATAATAATAATAATAATAATAATAATAATAATAATAATCATTAATAATAATAAAACTTAAATCAGGTGATGATTACTAGACGATCTCCTTTTGTTCACACGAGTAACCGCGTGACTGGCTTTATGCTGGCCAATCATACTAGCGTGGCTACGGTGCAGCACATTTTTTATTTACTTAAACTTCTAATTTTTTTAAATTTTGAATCGCTTTTCTAAAGCTACTCGAAAGAATGATTAAACAATTCAATAAACTTCGCGATCGAAATGCTTATCTTCAAGAATTTCGAAAAGAAGAGATTTTTCGCGACGATCTTGGCGAACTGGACGACTCTCGGTTTCCTTTTTTATTCGTTTTTTATAATTTTACTTCGTTCAAGAAAAATTTTTTAATAAAAGTTATATAAAAAGTGACGTGTTAATTTATAATAGATGATATTGTTGGAAAGTAAATTTTTGTTATTTTTAAGTTAAATTTGAAAAACTGCTTTAATTAATTGTCATAAATTAAGATTATTTATTTTTTATTAGCATTTTTATATTATTTATATACGAATCTTTCCAAATTTTAGTAGATAGTATAATTTTTTTCAAAAAGTTTTGTTTGGATTTAGTTGCATATTATGCAATATATATTAAAATAATTATAAAGTATTATTCATTTATTTTTCAAAGATTATATAATCATAAGACGTAGTTTTTTTTTTTTGTTACTTTGCTATCAAACACTGCTTTGATTAATTTACCGAGAAACATTTGAAAACTTGTTAAAAATTGTATTTTAAAGAATTAAGATTATAATTAGTTTTATTTTATTTATAATTATAGAGCAAAAGTTCAAGAAGTTATTGAGGAGTACAGACTCGCCGAAACTTCGTCGTACGCTGATTTTCCTTCGCCGTTGGATTTTCAGAAGTCGCAAAGTCGCCCTCAAGCTCCTCTTGTTTCTTAACAAGTTTTGCTTACAACTGCTAATAATAAACGATTATTTTGTAAAGAAGTCAATTTTTCATTGTGCATTACAGTAAACGTTATTAAAAAAACGCCTAAAATATGTACTTTTTTTTGTTTGCAATTTAATTTAAGGAAACTTTTAAATTCTAAAGACTAAACAATGTTAAGGATTTTTATTTACAGTTTATTTAATATTTCTAAAGTTTTTTACTTAAATGCATTAAATAGAAAATCAGAAACTTTTAAAGGCAATTTACTGCTTAAAATAATATTTTATTGGATCGTATAAAACTAAATGCAGCAAGCATTATTATAATTTGTCTTAAACCTAATAGTTAAAAGCGTGGAATCAACAAAGTTCGATGTTAACGATAATTATAAAATAATCGCATTATAATTTTTTAGAATTTTTTATTGTAACTAATAAGTTAAAAGATTAAGATTATCAGCATATGGAAGTACAGTTTAATAAACTTTTGCGAGTTAAAATTAATTAAGTTTATAAAAAATTTTATTTTAATATTTTACAGTTTACAATAATCAAATAATAAACTAATATCTGTAATGATCAGCCTTGTAAGGCCCGTTTACGCTAATTCCTAAATAGTTTGACTGCTTTTCGGTAAGTTTTGTTAGTACGACGCCCAGTTTGTCCAAGTGTGCACGTGCCACCAGTTCGTCTAGTTGCTTGGGCAGCATATAGACCTCAATCTGGTAGTTCTGAGCATTATTCCACAATTCCATTTGGGCTAAAATTTGGTTTGTGAAAGAAGCGGACATCACAAAAGACGAGTGGCCCGTGGCACAACCCAAATTTACCAGCCGCCCCTCCGCTAACACAATAACGTGGCGGCCATTCTTCATTGTGTAACGTTCCACTTGCGGTTTTATCAAAACTTTTTCTACAGCATTTTTATCTAAGTAGCTCACGTCAATCTCGCAATTAAAGTGGCCGATGTTACACACTATCGCGTCATCTTGCATTTCCTCAAAATGCCGTCCAACGATAATATCGGAACATCCAGTGGCAGTGACAAATATCATCCCTTTCGAGGCGGCATATTCCATTGTGTTCACTTCGTAGCCTTCCATGGCCGCTTGTAAAGCATTGATGGGATCAACTTCAGTCACGATGACTCGAGCGCCCAGTCGACTCAAAGACATTGCGCAGCCTTTCCCGACATCCCCATATCCAGCGACAACTGCTACTTTCCCGGCCAGCATTACGTCCGTAGCGCGTTTAATACCATCAATAAGAGATTCACGACAGCCGTAAAGGTTATCAAACTTTGACTTAGTCACGGAATTGTTAACGTTAATAGCAGGTACTTTAAGCTTCCCGGCTGCCAACATTTTGTACAAGTTATGTACCCCTGTGGTAGTTTCCTCAGAAATCCCTCTTATGCCTTGAAGATACTGGGGGAACTTTTCATGCACTAAATTAGTCAGATCACCACCATCATCTAGAATCATGTTAAGAGGTTCCCCAGAAGGAAAAACCAATGTTTGTTCTATACACCAAATATACTCTTCCTCTGTCTCTCCTTTCCAAGCAAAAACCGGGACTCCAGCCGCGGCAATAGCAGCAGCAGCGTGATCTTGGGTTGAAAATATGTTGCAGCTCGACCAAGTAACTTTAGCTCCTAAAGCTATAAGCGTTTCAATTAATACAGCAGTTTGAATAGTCATATGTAAACAGCCAGCTATCCTAGCACCCCTCAAAGGCTTCTCTGCCCCGTAACGTTCTCGAAGAAAAAGTAACCCAGGCATCTCTTTTTCTGCTATTTCTATTTCCCTTCGACCCGCTTCGGCAAGAGTAATATCTGCCACTTTATAAGATACTCGTTCCGCACCTGCAAGCATTGAACTCTCAAACATTCGCAAAATATCCAAATGACGTCAATAATGATATGAACTAAATATTTTTATTAGATATTTTTTGCATGGCATTACGCCTCATGGCGAGCTATAATTTGCTTCTACCCTAAAGCTGCAGACTTATAAAAGGAACCTGAATAATACCAACGACCTCATTATTAATCCTGTTTTATCTTATTAAGCCTTCATCTCCTCGACATTTCCGATAGTTTTTAAAAGCTTGCAAAACTCCAAGAGAGCTCCATGATGTGTTTACTATCTTAAACAGCATGCGAAAGATAGAAAGGTTTTTTGTATAACACAAGTATTAAGTTGTACACATCACCTACTGACTTCCATCAAAGTCAAAAATTCCATAATTACGCTGCGGATGGTATTTTTTATCTTCTTAATATACCTGTATTAAAGTTTTGAAATAGCGTATTACCCAAGTGTTATACTATTTAAGGTGTGTATTTTTTATGAGAACATATTAGATTCCTCACTTTAAAAGTTAAAGTCATTGACAGTAACAATCAACACTTTACATAATAAAAAAAAATCTTTTAAGTTATTAACATCGAATGTTATAGTAATTTTCTAGTAAGATCTTTTATCAGCAATTTAAGTAAACGGTTAAGCCTTGTGGTTACTTTACTAAGTTAAATCGAGGATTTTTCTGTGTCCTGGTGGCGGAATGGGTGAACAAAAAATTGTTTTTTTTATTGTTACAGTTTAAAAATTTATATGATAGTTTATTTCAGTTTACCGAGTTCTTTCTAATTAGTTATTCCTGAAATAACATATTTATGCCCACTTTGGCGTCAGCCAATCTGTCAAGTTTGTAAATCTTTTATTTAGGGGGCTTATTAAGAAAAAGAAATGGTGAGAATGGATATTTAGTATTTTGCCCTATAATTTACAATACAAAGTTAAATATATTTTACTAGTACAGTACCACTAGCTGAAATTTTTCCTATCGCTCGCTAGTTTATATATCAGAATTTTAAGCACATCCTACAGGCTCACCTCACTTCTAATGCTCTCCTCAATTTTATTGCACAAAAGAACATGGGGAACTCTTTTTACAAACTTTAATATAATAATAACGTAAGTGGTTGGTGTGCAGTTTATTTGAAGTCATTATCATGCTGGGTTTTGTAAAGTAAACTTTCTTCCATATAAAACATGGTATAATTTCTAAACGTACTCCTGAGTTTTTTCGATATTTAAAAAACTACACTCGCCGCAATGATTATAATTTTCCTTGGGTTAACTTCCCTTCGCTATGCTCTAGCTTGCACCCAAGCTTTATCCCTTTAGCCAAATAAAGTTTGAGAGCATTGATCCTAAAGTTCTTTTAAACGAGATTAAACCAAAAAGAGAGTTGGCAGGAGCCTTACAAGGGTATCAACTTTTTATAAAATGTTAGCCGAACAAAAAGATGTGTGAACTTAAAACAACTCGTATGCAAAATTGACTCAACTATTTGTTACTTCGGGAGTTCTTTGGTGAGAAAATCCAAAAGTTTAAATAGCTTAAATTCGTAGGTGTGAGAATTGATCCATGTTTGAGGACCATTACCGAAATTATATTTTTCAGATGGTTATCAACAAAGATTTAAAATAATACAGTTGATAACGTAAGCTTATTAAGTAAGTAGCGGCACCTGAATTGAAGGTTAGTAGCAAAGTCGAACGCCGTTTAAGCAAGAGCTTTTAATGTGCCTATTCGTTGCAAATTTAATTTTTACCTTCTACTAGGAAAGTCGGAGGTTTGTTCTCTATCACAAAATATTTTTTAAAGGGTAGAGTTGTGTTTTTTGCTGACGGCGCTGAGAAAACAATATCTTCCTGAAAACAAAGTTTATTAACGACTCTCCCGTGGCACATCCTAAACCCTTAATAGGTAGAAACTGATTAAGCTTAGCCTTTATAAGCAGTCATAAATTAAAAAATTTATTAGACCTGGCGAGGTTAAGTTGTTTTTATTGCGGAAATATATATATTTGAGATAATTTTCAAAAATTACTTAGTACGATATTTAAATTAATGTAATCACTTTTTGACCACTTTTGTTTTTCGAAACTAAAAAAAGTTTTGTAGAAAAAAAAAGTTAATTATCTACTTATTTATTTATAACACATTAATATTGCAACTTCTGGTCTACATTTTCTGAGTCTGATGGTGTTTAATCTGATATGTTTTTAAACATCTTGACGTTAAGTATTCCGCTCCATTAGGATTTTATCTAAAGATCGAACTTTTTTTGGGAGGTAGAGTACAGCAAGTCCCCTACCTCCATGTGTTTGTAATTAAAATACATGTATATAAATAATATAGTTCCCAGAACTGTGGCCGGGTATCGTACAGTGCGGGGAAGTACTTTTACAAGTACTAGCATATAGTTTCACGTGGTTAGCTGATAACACCTTGTATAGTATTGATTTCAGGGCTCTGCCATCTCCTTTCTAGCCAGCTTCATGATACTTTAATGCAATATGAGTTATTTTACCTTCCCTTGTTTATTAAAGGCTACGGAAAGATATTACATTAACTTAAAATATTCCTTTAGTGGGGCTAGTAATCGAACTCTTTCTTTTTCGACTAAAGTATCTACACCTAATGCCTTGAATGGACAACTTCCTTTTAGAAAACGTTTAAAAAACACCCCTGTGGTTTCCTCTATACGAAAGAGGGTGGATGAACTAGATTTAGGGAAGAGAACAAGAAGAAGACTTAATAACTGTGTTTTAAACGCCCTCAAGCACAATATTTCTGAGAAGGTCATAACTTAATATATTTCTGGCTTTGTATTTATATTAGATTTGTTATTTATATTCATTATGGTGGGAGAGGGACCACAGTATTTATCTATAATATGCTGTTAATAAAAGGCTTCTTTTACTTTTAACTATGAAGATTATTTTTTATATGAAGATTTTTTATTTTAAACCTCATTGAAAGTATTATATAATTTAAATTGTTTTCAAAATATATCATAAACTAAGCAGGCGCGCTGCCTAAACGTACTTTTTTGATTTCTAAACAAAGTAACAAACATAATTTATTTCAATTTATAGCTTGGTCATTTGTGTGTTCTGGGCCAGCTCGTCTTTTATCTAGTTTGTGCGTTTGGCACCTATATTAATATAGTCTTGACTGTGTTTGGTTGCAGCTTTTTATTTGCAAGCTAGAGAAAGTGGCTTCTACTGCCTTGTTTGACTCTCTTAAATCTTCAGATGTTCCAGAGTTTGCTTTTTGCGGTATTACTGGGTATTCTTATGAGAGGAGATTTACTATGTTTGATCTTCTAAAAGGCCGCTCCAACGTTGGTAAGTCAACATTGCTAAATTTAATAAGTAAGTCGAAACCGGCTGTGGTTTCTAACAGCCCAGGAGAAACAAAAAGGTAACTTGGTTTGCCTTTGCTGCTTTTGCTTGCAAGTTTGCTTATTTATATATGTAACACAGGATAGACGTGTATACGTTGCAGAACAAAATCAATTTTACTGACTTGCCTGGCTATGGCTTTGCATATGCCCACGAAGAAGAAAGAAGATGTTGGTTGCACGCTGTAAATATACCAGTTTTTAACAACTTTTATAAACAGTATTATTTATAATTTGTGCCACCAGGTGCAAAGATATCTTTGTGAAAGAAAAAACTTACGTTTAATTTTCGCTTTAGTTGATTCACGGCATGGTTATTAACTTGAGTTTACATTGAGCTTAATTTTAATTTGTTAATACTTATTAGGTTTTAAATCTATTGATAAGGAGTTTTTAAACTTTTTAGATCGGTAAAAATTATTGTATTCCCTTTTTTACGTCATTTTTTTTACTTGAAAGGTATAACGCCAATTATCGGGTAATACTAACAAAATGCGATCTACCGAATGCGGATAATCTTTACAGAGTTATTCACGGGGTTGAAGAAGTACTACTAGTAGTTATCTTTTCACTTCTCTAGCTAACGACTCTATTATTGTGCGTCTGGAGAGTCTGAAAGCGAGGCTGCACCCGTATCCTTGTCTTTTGATTAGCCGGCAAAGTATCCAGAGCATAGAATCTTTTAGAAAGTATCTTTTGGTCAAGTCAGGATTAAATCGATAAGGTGCTATTTTTCTTTTATTTTTTTAAAGTAAAGTGTAACTGCCGTTGTTCATTCTTTGAGAAGGACAGCAAATTCTTTATAGTCGATTAGTCCATCACCATTTGAGTCAGCAACGTTAATCATGTCCTCAATCTTTTTAGCGCCGCTTAGAGTAGTTATTAACTGCAAGCGGAGGGTTATAACTTCATTACTTCTCGATCTGTCAGATTCTCTCCCATGCAGGACATTAAATGCCTTAGCTCTGCTGGACTTATAAATCTAAAAAAGTTACGTTACTATATACTATTTTCATGGAATATAATTACTTAAGTAAATTACCCATCGTTGTCCTTGTCAAATATACTAAAAACTTCTCTAATTATATCCTCTTCTCTGGCATCGACCTAATTCGAAACATTCTTTATTTTAATAGCAAATAGACATATCATTTTTATTTAATTCAAGCTCTACAAGTTTTTTAATACTAAATTAACACTAGACTTGATGGTTGTATATAGATCTTTAGCGGCTGCCCTTTCCGCGCAGTCCTCGTTTCACAAATTACTTTGCTCGGTAGACTATATATTAGTTTAGGCAAACAAAATAAATAATAAAGAACGAAATTAACTAAGGGAGAAGTTATATTAGTTTGCGAAGTGTTACTTAGAGGGTACCTTCCTCAATTTCAAACTAAAATTATTTTTAAAAATTAATTAATATACATATAGACCAGTTTTCTAGACATTAAGTCGCAAAATTCTGTGAAATCTAGACGTCCGTTATCTGGGTTATTTATAAACTCCTTTCAATTCTTGGTACTAAGTAAAAAATGTGTTTAAAAAAAAAAATTGAGTACTGTCCTCATCGACTTCAGCCATCATTTTTTCTACTTCCTCTTCTGTGACGTTAGGATCCGCCACCATAATAAGGTCTTTTAACTCCGATAAATCAATTGAATTATCACCGTTTTTGTCGAAAATGTTAAAAGCAGCCCTTAGAGTTTCAATGTTAGATGTATTCTTGCTTTTATTAATTGCTTCCATATTTAATGTTAATGCGCTCTCTGAAAAACGAGTTTAAGGTAAAGGCACTTTCCTGTAAAGTTAGGTATTATCTGTCTGAAATTAATAATCTTGTTGAAACACAATGAAAAGCACTACAGAAAAAAACGGATCACAATTTTTTGGTAACTCTTACTGGTGTTTTTTCTATTTATAAAGTTGGAGAGTGCCACAGTCAAGAATGCACGTCTTTTTTCTTCTAAAACGGTATTTCCTTTGCAGTAAAGGTAGTAGAGTAAAACCCGAAGGAGGGATAGTTGACCCTTTACGGTTACCTAGTATAAAGCGCTTATTGCAATTTACTTATAATTTAGTATAAACTGTACTTATTAGTATATTATCTATATTAAAATTACTATTTCTTACTATTTCTTATTGTTACTATTATTATTAAATGTTATTGGGTTATCAGTAGTAGAAACTGTAAAGGAGGAGGTATAATTAACCCTGCAGTAGTCGCAGGGGGCCTCACAGATCTGCAATTTTCGTTTTTAAATTTTCAAATTAGGTAGAATAGTTTAGTGTGAGCTTATCTAAACATCTCAATAAACAGCAAGTTTTCAAAAATTTACGGTTTTTTTATTTAATATAAAAGTATAATATTTAAAACTCGAGGGGCCTGAGAGAGCTACTGCAACTACTGTAGAATTAATACTATTTTTCAGTTTATCAGCGTTATACGGTGAATTACTATACATTTTAAACTTAATTACCACAGTGGGCCGTAAATTATCCACGTAGCAGATTAAATCTAAGTTTTTTAAATGTAACCAGTTTTTAAGGGGGTTTAAATATGATTGCATATTTTTTTATAGCTTACGAGGGGTATAAATTGCAGAGTCATCAGTATAAAACACAAGGAAAACATTGATTGTTGGGATGTTAGAAGTAAAGGTAGAAGCAGCAGAGTTTACAAAAGGGAGTTTAACGAAAACCGTCGGTAAGGGTTTAGGGATCGGATGTTATAATATCCATCACTTTTATCTTTATAACAGTACATTTAATTGTTAGTTATATTAAGTACAAAGGAGTAATACTGTCAGCCTTTAAAAGATGCATTTTAAAGACTTTCTCAACACCTTAAAGTACAAGATTTGCAGCTTTTTTATCATCTAACGCTTTAGTAACGTGTTTAAAGAGCCATGTCATCTGTTTAACGGAGAAAGAACATTTTTTAAAGGCCGAATTGTGCACCAGAGTTATAAGCTCCTTTCTTGCAACGTTTGCAATCTTGTATAAATATGCGCCTTGCCAAGACATGCTTAGAGGCAATAATCTTCGAGTGAAGGTCAATTTACTTGGGATCAAGATAACAGAAGCCAACATTCAGAAAACGTCCTTTAAAGAAATATAACTATCAAATAAACAGTGTAAGCAGCGTACGCAGTTAATGGGAGCGTGTTTAAGCAGTAAATTTTGTTCACCATCTAAATTGCTCTCTTCATATATGGAAAGTGTACTTATCCCTCTAATATCTCCTCCAGTTTGGTGAGTGATAGCGAACTGATAAGTAGCCGTTCTTCTTCGAGGTAGAGAATAAGAGATAAATGGAATAGGTTTCTGCTAACAGATTAGTCTATCCTAACGAAGAATATACGGCGTGACGTACATAATGAGTTATATATGATTTTAGCTTTAATAATTAATGAATATTTTTTATGATAAAAACGAACTATAAAATTTATGTATAACAATACAGCCCTGGGGCATTTGCTATTATTCCCTCTCGAGTGAATACTCCCCACTAGTAACAGCCCCATGTTATAGTCGAGAAAATCTGAAACAGTGCGTTAAACAGTTGGTAGAAGAAACTATTTAATATACGACCAATTATATATGACCGCTATTCCTTACTCAAAAGAAAATTAAAAAGTAGAAAATATGCATAAATGCAATTAAACAACTCCAATCAGAAGTTTTTGAGGCACAAAGCTATAAATTTTTTTGAACTTTTATATGTAATTAGTAACTCGAAGTCAGCAAATTCTTTAAGTTACTTAGAACAAAAAATAACGAAAAATTTTTCGCAGATCCCGTGTATATCTTAGTTAGTTTTAAATAAAGGAATAACTTAGACTTATTTAAAATCTTAAATTTAACTATCCAAGTAGATATTTTTAAGTTTACCTAAAACATCATGAACGCTAACTATTAATGGAGTGAGATTCCTCCTGCTAAAGACCCCTTTACAGAAGTCATTCATAAATATCTTTTAAAGGGATCCAAGAGTACCCGCAGGAGATCACCGAATAAAAAATCTAAAAGGGTTTAAACAGTCTTTTTAAAAATACATAGATATCGACAGGGAAGTAGATTATAGCCCACTCTTTACCTATGCAGAGGCTATGAAAACGTACAAAGCAGTTTATACCTGCTGCTATATCTGTAATAAACCTTCACTGTACTCAAAGAATAAACACTGTTCCAGGCTGTGTATAGTAATAAATTGAGTCGCTTTCCATTGAATATGCAGACGATTCTGTCAGGACTCCTTTTAAAAGATGCAAATCTAAATTAGTAATGGAATTATCTTGATTTATATCTACGTCCAGTTTAGCTTAGTACTTTGGGGCGTTTGGTTAATAAAATCGGTTAAATGAGCATTTTGTTAGTTTTCATATAAGCGATGTATCATCCATTCAACGTATGAAAAACTTATTATACTAAATTTATGAAATTCATGGATCTCATAGTATATGTTGAAATATTTATGGGGGTTTTAACCAAAGTCTGTCTACAAGGTTTTTCTTTATACCGAACCTATGGGATCTTCTTTGAATCGCCAGGCCGTAGATAATAAACAAGCAAAAGTGAAATACCCAGCGAACTACCACAGGCAAAAAATTACATCTTAAAGAAAAAAACCCTCTGCTTCATTAATCGTAAAATTTTATATATACATTAAAAATAATAAATTAAAGACACAAGATTAATTAAAATGTATCAATTAAATTCGGTGTCAACTAAATTGTATGCTATAAAACTATAGTTCTATAATAAATAAAGAGTAGCTGAAGCTAGCGCAGCAGGAATTCCTATAGGAAGCCCTGTAACAGCTGATAAAGTTTATTTTGGAAATTTAAAATTTTTTATGCATTTACATGCATAACCTTCATGGTATTTAACATAAAATTCATGTTCTTTTTTTACCTTTAATAAAGTATTTCCACAATTCATAGTATATCTATAGAATTAGAAGTATAGAGATTCAATATCTAGTCGAAAAGGTTTTAAGGGCTTATGAATTTTCATTAAAAGAAAGACATTTAAAGCCTGCAATCAGAGTTTAAAGTAGAGCCATTTTACAATTTCTCCTTATAGTGTTATTATAGTACGTTATTAGAGTCTGAGCGCTGGGAAAGTTTTTATATAACTTTCCTTGTGGCATCTAGGCATCGCATAAAAATAGCCCAAGACCTTTTACAAAATTCATGAAGTTTGATCTTTGCGAGCTTCATAAAAGAAGAATCCTTAAAGGCTTCGAGTTTATGTATTTAAGTTCAAATAGAAATTTGTAATTGCTTTTTATGAAACTCAAGGCGGGTCTCCTCATTAGGTTCGATAACTTTTTAAGTATTGCTTTTAAGAAGAGTTAAAACCCATCCATATATCGCGTTTTCATCATAACAACAGGATTCTGGTTTTTATCAGTTATAAGAAATTATAGATGACTACTTTTCTTCAACTCAATTGGATAGATTATAAGGATCATTACCATTATAAAAAATTTCAAAACTTTTTTGTTACGTAAACGCGTCAACTAACTTAATATTAGTAAAGGAATTCTCTATTACGATTGTCTCCATTTATTATATATAAAAAAGAATAACCATATCTTTTAAACCCTATCATATTCACTTGGTATATGATAAAATTGTCATTCGGAGAATTATGAAATTGCGTACTCAGTATTTTTTGGTAATATGAGGTAAAACTAGAGTTTTCTATATGTCACTCAATTGTATGATTGAAAGAGTAAGGACTCTAAATGCGTTACTACACCTTTTATGGCTAGAGACAAACGGCGTATTTATAGAAATGAAAGGTTATTCTTCTCATATTATTGTTTTTTCCATTTTGAGTATATAGGGGCATTTTAAGCGCTATTGTAAAAGGTTTGTGATTAAAAGAGGGTTCAAATGTCGTTGTGATAAAAATTGAAAATAAGTGCTATGTATAAGGACAATATCGAGTACGTCAAAGGTGTAATTTGTGATATAATGTGTTGGGCCGCCGGATCTGGGGGTTTGATAGGATTACAAAAGGTTTAAGCATACCATTGTTATAAGCTCTCATTCCTACAACCTCAAATCTTATAGTTTCTGGTATTTTCCAGAGAAACTGTGGTATGTTTTTCTAATAGATAAAACTACCCCCAGATGTCTTATTAGGTCTACCTTATCTATAAAAGGAATAGTATGACCATTAAATGTGATTCTAAAACTGAAAATCTGAGGACATACCAGTCGAGGGGCAAAAGCCTACATACTTAATAGCTCGAGGAATAAGTACTTTTATACTCGCTATCCTTGGCTGTTTGCACTTTATGTGCTCATTGTGCCATAATCCGATAACTCCCGCGCTCCTAATGCTTTGCCTTATACCTAGATTTTAGGTCGATTTACTCATAATTGTAGGTGGCGACCTTAATGAATTCAGCCTCTGGAGTACCACGAGGTTACCATGCCATAAAAAGCCAACCTTCCTGGTGGATAATATTACAAATGACATATTTTTCATCATACTTGAATTTAGAGTTGTCGTCGTAACCTAACAAAAAATAAGAGGATTGACGCGTTAACTTATGGACGAGGGTTATCCTTTCCAGGGCAATTCTCTTTTTAGATCTAATGATTGTTCCATGTTTAACTCGCCCTATAACGTCCAATAACGTATAATTTCTTAATAAACGCGCCTTGCTCTTTGCAGCGGTAGTAAGTCCTATATAAGGGCGGATTTCGTAAGAAACAATGAGCATGGTAAAAGGGGTTTTTTTGAGGGCTCGAGTGAATTTTAAGAGGTCTGATGGAGAAATTTAAAGTTTTCTTTTCGTTACCTAGTCTAAACATCCTAGACAGTGGCCCGATAACACCTGAGATCGCTTAAATGAATGTCCTTTACACAGCGAACCACCCAATATGTCTGACTTGCCTGTATCTGCCGTGTGCGGTGGGTCAAGTCCGTATTCGCCAGAGCAAATATCGGGAATGCTTCTTTTTTTTTTTCACATCTAATGACTCTTTCAAGCAGGTGCTTGCAGTAAAGGACTCTCCAACAAAAGTGGAAGGGCCCCTCACAAGACAGCAAAGCCTGAGGTTTTACGAATCTTTAAAGGGAGAGGTCAACCAGGTAAAAAAGTTTCAACTATCTTAAAGCTTTGCAGAGCTGGTAATAAAATCTAATTGTATTTTATGTCTACTTTAACGAAATTATTAGGGCCTCCACCGCTTTTTTGAGTTCATTTCTGGCAGTAAGCCGAAAAGTTGCGAAAGCTGATTGAGACCTAAAAAACTAGATTGTTTCGCTGACATAATAAAATGCTGAACAGGTGGCGCTGCATCCTGGGGCCAGAAATCGATTGCAAATAGTTCTAGGCCCTTACACTGTGGTTGTTTCCTACTCTGGAAAGTTGTTTTTGCACCCAAACGAGCGGAGTACAAGATCGTCAGGTTTATAATAGCAAGTAAAGAAGTAATTCATATGCCGTGAACCGTTGTATAAAGGGTGTTATTGCATTCCTTCATGGTTAATAAGTCAATCAAAAATACGAAATAGTACAAATTCAAGGTAATTTAGTTTCGGATTTTATACTCTAACCTGACTGCATCCGCGGCCCTGGAAACGAGCATGGTGCTGTTAGTCCTCACTTAATACTAAAAATAATCCTGAATGCGGACGTCTTTGCTACTAACACTTAACCGAGGATTAAATTAGTAACCTAGCAAGTTTCTCCAATGATTCACTAAGGCTCCAAAACTCTTCCTAGACTGCGTTTAAGAAACACCCTCGAAAGGCAATGCCAGTATGCAACGGGATGGCTTCTAAGGAGAAAAGCTAATGGTTATTGAGCTTTTCGCTGAACTCGTTTTAAAGCCTAAAAATCAGTCAATAGAGCAATATCTTTTTATTCCTTTAAATCATTCTCTAAACTTAGTAAAAACTTACGACATTAATTGTTTAATTGTGTTGAATTCGTTAGAGAAGAAAAAGTACCCGGATTTTATAAGTTTACTTGCATGTTCCTCCCTCGGATGGCAACCAATTGGCTACAGTAAATCGAAACAAGCATGCCGCAAGGACTAGTGTACTTTTGAACGAATGTCATGGCCGCAAAAACTTCATAATGAGTTACGTTAATAGCACTATTCCTCTAATGTCAACTCCCCCTCAAGATTAAGGTGCAAGGTAGTGGTCTTTTTACTTTAATACTAAACTAAAGATGCTACTAAAGGTCAGACAATGCTACCACGGAGCCTTTTTTAAGCCAAATGAAGTTTAGCTAAGTAACTGAACTTTATTTTATTCGGTCCTGTGGTTTAAGTGGTGGAACGCCCTTATCGGAGAACTGGTTCGAATCTAGTAAGTATTATTGTATCATTTAGTGCTTTAAGCGCCTTAGATCGAAACCAACCGGGGCCGGCCGGGACTAAGGCGCCTACAGCCGCGAATTTTTTATATAGGGCCTACCTTTTTTGGCCGCTTTATAGTAACGACCTAGCGGGGACATCCGCGGGTAATATTTGTAGCAGGGGTAATTTACTGAGCTATTCGTATCTTAAGCGAGAAGAGGCGGAGAATGCTTGCAACTCACTTTTATTAACTATAAAGAAGTAGGATACGCGCTAATGATAATACCTATACATATAACGTAAGAACCCTCCTTACCATTATTCTGGCCGCTGTTTTTTTAAGATTATGATATTCGTATAATACACTTTAGATATTTATGCTTAATTCTCTTGAAAAGGGAGGTAAAACTAGGGTGGTAAAGTCATAATCTACATAAAAAGATAAAGTTTTTTATCGGTACTATACAATACCCCACGATTGCGTATAAGATCCTTTTGATATTTTAAATGGTGTTAAATGGACTTGAAGTTTTGCTTGAACCACCTATGTTTCCCATGCAGCCCGGGGGGTTAACCTCGTAGCTGTCCGTTTGGAATGGGAAATATAAATTTGAACGGGAGTAAAAGGACAGTTAAAAATGAGTTGTGATGGCCCAAAAACTGCAACTAGCGAGCAGCAGGTTTCGTGTCTATTGTATCTTTTAGCTACCAAAATGTCTATCTACATCTTTCCTGCCTTACTTAAATTTTAAGCAATGGAAATAATAAATTTATTTGTCTTACACTAATCTGTACACTACATGTCTGGGTTTAACGTTTTTTGTTCTACTTGGTCTTCATATTATATTTTATTATTGTAAGTGTGGAAGTTCTAATCTATTATATATTGCTGTTTGGGTATGTAAAATAATACTGTCCCTTTAGAAAAAAGTTGAAGAAAAAATAAATTGCTTATATTTAGAGCTGAAAAGTCTTCCTAATTATCGAAAATAGTAAGTTAAAGGTTTACTTATAATCGAAGTTATTCTTGTTTATTCTCGAGTAATATTCACCTTCTAAGCTTACGCATCGAGTTTTGCAAACATGAAAATTTCTTAAGAAGGGGTTTAAAAAAACTAAGGCAAGGTTGATATGTCCTTTTGTTCGTTATACGCTTTTTACTGACTTTTAATTCAAATTATTTTATCTTTTTGAGACTATTCGAACTTGGACGCCAGTCGCCCCTGGCTTGTCTACTGGATTCTTCATTCTATGAGCCTGTTAAAGTTGGACATCTCAAAAGAGGAACGATTGAGGTCCCTATTAATCCATGATTCAAAAAATAAGAATTGACGCCGTTCCTAATAGTGCTGTTGGTTTTTTGTCTCTGTGCCAAAATCCTACTGGTGGCTTCGGAGGGGGCCCCCAGCAGCAGTCCCACCTGGCTCCAACGTATGCCTCCGTCTGTGCTCTGTGCACAGTTGGGCTTCCGGAGGCCCTCAGTACGGTTGACAGGTGCGCCACTGTTGTTTCCACTATTTTCTCCTAAGTTAGTTTATATAGCACCTTCATACTTTTTAAAATTATTGCTGCCCTTTGGGTAAAGTGTGTGCATAAATTTGTTAGGAAAATGATGTACCGCTTCCTTGTTTCCTTGAGAAGTAGAGAAGGAGCTTTTATGATGCACGAAGGTTTTATAGTTTCTCTGCAAACTTTAGATTAAGCGACTATAATTTACGTTCACCCCCCTTATGGAGCAAATTAGGCTCTATTTTATGTTTTCCGCTCTCTTATTTTAAAGCACGCTTTCTCTATAACTTGTATATTACGTTCTGTTTTGGCGTAAACTTGTAGGTTGCACTTCTCTTAAAGCGGTTAGCCGTGGCTAGTGTAAATATTTTTTATAAACGCGTCAGGTGGTGAAGTCGACGTTCGGGGCTGCTACTGCGCTGTTGTAGCAGCAAAAGTGTTGCATATCGGCACTCCCGAATTGTTTAAGGGGACGGCCGACTGGATTGGCAGGTATTCGGGCACTTTTTTCTGCAATAAAAAAGCAAACTATCTTTCATTTTTTTAGTTGCCAGACATACGAGGGCGGGCTGTCCGGTTATCCAGGGCTTGAGGCACATGGCGGATACACCTACTGTGGCGTGGCTGCTTTGGTCCTTCTGCAGCGGACTGATGCTATCGACTTGGAGCGGCTCTCTGTTCGTCTGGATTTTGTACTAAATTTTCGGTTTAATGTTTTTTTTTTTTCAGCATTGGTTGGTTCAAAGACAAATGAGCGTTGAGGGTGGCTTCCAGGGCCGCACAAATAAGCTTGTGGATGGCTGTTATTCATTTTGGATAGGTTGTCTTTTTCAACTGATCGATCCCATCCTCCCGCGCAGTAGGCAGAAATTCCTTATTTACTTGTTCTAATGAAGTTCAAGTTTTTTTTTATAGGCGCAGACAGCAGTCACTTCTTTTACAATCGAGGTATATTTAGGCTACCGCCATTGCCTTTAATTTCCTTCGAGTAGATACACTCGCGTTGCTTAGACGCCTTGCAAGAGTACATACTATTTCTTGCTCAGTCTCCTGGCGGAGGGTTTAGGGACAAGCCGGGCGTGTGAGCTTCCTGCTCGCTTCATCTGTATATCTTTTTTAAGCAAGCTCTCCTCCCTAGCCCCCCCGACTACTACCACACTTGCTATGTGTTGAGCGGATTAAGCGCCTGCCAGCACGGAGGTCGAGGCGCTCGGAACACAAGCATCGTTGGCCCTTTCTCGAATCTACTGGTGGTCATCATACGGCGTTATGCCAAGTTTCTGCTAATTATTGCGCCGCAGAGCCCCATCGAACCGAAAATCAACATATGCCTGCACGCTTTTAGGAAAGCAGAAGAGTATTTTTCTGCGTTGGACGGGTTGCACTCCAGGATAGTCGAAGAGCAGTGAGCTCCTCACTAATACGCGGTGTATGCCAGAGCTCGCTACACTAAGCTTTATTGCAAGGAGAGAGATCGCTCTGCCATGTTGACTATATTATTGGGAGTTACTTCCTCGGCCTAACGTTAGAAAAGTTGATGGGACTGTAAAGAAAAGACAGTAGACAATAATATAATAAAATTCGACCTCTTGTTCGAGTATTTTGAAAATTCGCTCGGTTAGAGGGCTGGCCTTGTGCTCTTCTTCCTGGCAGACTTGCTCAATATCTAGAAGTTTTTCGAAGTAGTAATCACGTTCCTTCGTCACTTCCGCAAGTTCCATTTTCAAGTGAGTTACCTGAAAATTGTTAGTTATTAAGGCTGAAGAAAGGTGAAATTTAAGCTAGTAGCTTTTCTTTTAATAAAATTAAGGGCATCAACGTGCTAATTGAAGAAATTCTTTAACTTTGAACTGCGCAGTTGTAAATTAAAAGAAACAGAAGTCACGGTCGGCTATATTGACCGTTATATTTCTAATAACAGGTTTCACTATGTAATATAAAAACACATGCGTCCTACTTAAGTGTCGCATGAGGCTTCAAACTTGACTACTATACACCAGCTGCTTATAAAAAAACAAAAAATTACGGTTTTTTTTAGTGGAGCCAACTCTTCGTTATTAATAGCTGTCTTAGGTAGTGGCGGGAGAGACCGCGTGGTAACGCTGCAGGGGCTCTTAGATGCCTCAGTGGAACAGCGACTTAAACCGACTCTATGCGTGTTTTCAGTTGGAAAGTCAGTGTTGCGCGGATTCTCAAGTCCAGGAGCGTTGGCTTGAAAGAACTTATAAAACCACTGGAGAAATAAAAAATTGTCTTGAAATCTTCCTTTAACTAGGGATTCTACTGGTATGGTCTACTTATGTGTATAGAAAGAACTTTAACAAGAGTAATAATGAAAATTTTAATTTAGAAATTGAGTAAAGTTCAAATATATAGGAAAATTCATATACATAAAGAACTCCCCGTTTAGTAAAACCCTGCTGTAGACACTTAAAATTATTTATCTTTTCATGGTCTTGCCTAGCATCGACCTTAACTTTGTGCATACTAATAGACCCTTACAATCGGATATATTTTATTTACAAATTTAACAAGAATTGATAGTACTGCTAATTTTAGATTACCTGAAAAAATTAATTCGAACATAACACAGTAAGCATAACCTGTTTTTTAAAAGTAATAATTAAAAAAGAAAGAAGTCAATAGCCGTCTTATATATTTAACCAGAAGACAGCTGTTCGACCTTGGAAATGGAAACTCCGGAAAGTTCAGAGATCCATTGACATAGCTGCTGCCTAGACAGGCTTATAGTTCCGGCATTAACTTTCACATTTATTACTGTCATATTTTATAGCTATTATGTAGTATAATTTTAAAAATATATAATAAATTAAGTATTAAAGGTATTACCATAATTTAGATATAGTAGAAAATTGTTTGAACACTTTGATAACACCCTTACAATGCACAGGAACTGCGAAACTAGCATTTAAACGTCCTATATAATTCAGCTATTAGGCGACATATGACTGGCTAAGTTTACAACGTTAAAAGGTTCGTATGTAAAAGACAGTTTGCGAGGGCAAAGTGTGAAAGACAGCGACTCAAGAAAGAAAATATTTAGTGACGGCACAAAAGTGTTATCACTTGTTCTGTACCTTGGACGGGTGTATACACGTTAAAAGCTTTTTGACTCAACAATTCTTGTGTTTTATTATTATTAAGTGCCAGGAGTGTGCTCCCTGTTGGAAACTTTGGGAGCGGCGAAATATTACCGCCCTTCCGGTGTGCAGTGATAGAAAACCGTCGAAACAAGATGTGGAAATGATTCTCCGCCATGCCCAAGAGTGACGCCCACCTTGAGGGATAAGGAATCATAATATTATGGTATCGAATCGTGAGAGGTGGCCGCGTTTTTGGGAATTTGAGCCCTGATGGCTTTTTGAAGGCTATCTTGGTAAAGCGCTACAAACATATTAACTGGGATGAAAAGAAAGTTGTAACGCTTACGTGGTACTTTTATTTTATTCCGTGTTTTATAAAGAAATATATGTAGGTAACATTGTCGTTGAATCGTTCAAAGCTATATCCATTAAACATTCGAAAATCGCAGGCTTTAATTTTAGCTATATTACAAGCCTTTTAATTACTTGTAGGGGAGGTATACCACTTTAATCTTTGTATATCCTCTATACACTCCTTACAGTTTTAGTAAGGTGGATAATACCTTTGGCTTAGAGACGTTTTAAGTCAAGCTAACATTCTTCTGCATTTGTTCCAGCTCGGCTTTATATTGATAATGGTATTACAAATATTACTTATTAACTACATATTTACTCCTTAAACCTCATGCATATAAAAGGCAAAATCGGGATCGCCAAAATAAGCAATTTTTAAAAAAATGACGAACTGCTCAAATTGCAACATTACAACTGTAGCTCGTCCCTAATTTAATAAACTCTTAGGCATGCTATTCATTAAATATCAAGGTTTCATACAAAGGAACTTGCTTTACTATTAAACGGATTCAAGGAAGAAAGGATCCACAATACGTAAACATTGAATTCAACAAACAAGGACTAGTTGTATACAACTCAACGGGGAGTCAAAATAACTTTATTAGAAAATTCTGAAAGGTTTACTAGCTAACTACTGTTTCCACTGCGCTTGCTTCAACAACTGGATCTGCTTCCTTTTCTCTTTACTTAAACAACGGTAGAACTCTTCCACCTTTGGATGAACTTTTACAGATTCTGGACGGAAATCTAGAATCCTCAAGCTAAAGAGCGTGCGTATAAACAATATATTTCCAGAAATATACCAAAACGAAAAAAATAAAAGAAAACCCTTTTAGATGGCGAACTCTGCTTAGAGCGACGTAGACCTGCGTCAGTGGGCAAATAAATCAGGATAACGGTGAGCAGGGCGCTCTACTAGGCGCGAGCGTTACCTGGCCGTAGTCGAACACGTTGGCTAAGTGGCACTCCACCAAGTCCAACGTCATTCCTTGACTTTTGTGGACAGTCAGCGCCCAAGCAAGCTTCAGCGGGACCTGCTCACGAATGCACTCGCCGCTATAGTAAGTGAACGCCTCAAACCTGGCAGGGCCCACCTCTGTAATAAAGTTTAGAGGAAATGGTAGGCAAAAAAAGAAACAGCACCCATAACTATGCCGTTCTGAAACTTAACCACAGGAAAATTGCTGTCCCTGCAAAAAAATTGTTAATAAAATTATAGGCGGTATTAGAGAGTAGCTGGTAAGCAAACCTTTCGTCCCATCCCACAACAACGCCTCGCGAACCGTTAACCAGATTGTCTGGCAGATAATTTTTTAGAAGAACAACCTAAACGAGTAAAGAGAGAAACGGCGACAACGGCAGTGCAGAAAAAAGGACCTGCGCACCGATCTTCAAGTGAATGGTGGACTGCACGTTGGTTTGCCGATCTAGAATCTGAGTTAAACTCTAAATAAAAAATATTGTTGGAAACCGACCAGCTTCAATATAAAAACCGCTAAAAAAACCTCCGAGTTCACTAAATATTCAGAGCTATCTACAGAAGTAAAAGTGCGACAAGGTCCAGGAAGTTCTCTCAAGCGAGAATTATTTTCTTCGTTGACGTCTCGATTGCTTATAGAAATTAATTTGTGTGGGGTGGGCGGGGAAAGCAAAGCACAGAAGGTACAGTGGATATAGTCTGGTAGGCACTATGCCGGTTTCACTCAAGAGGGGGAGCTCTCTGCCTTTCAACAAGGCAGCTGTCTCTTCGGACACAAAGCCAACACGAAGTTCGTTCAGAATTTTTATAAAAGCGGGATCAGTGCGCTGTCGATGAACCGATTTCAACACATGAACCTTCAGTGTAAAACGATAAAGATCAACACTGGCAACCATAAGCTGACAAACAATAATTCCAGTAGTCACTAAGTCTTGTGTTAAAAAAAAAGGACATGGCTTCTACTAGGTTACCGGTATTTACTTTTACTTCGGAAATCTAGTAATACTAGAGGCCGTCCCGACTAAGTTCATAGCTTGTAAGTAAAACTAACTGTTTTTATGGCATCGTTCCACAAGGGCGACTCGAACGCGAAACTGTGCTTTTCGGCATCCACCGGGCTGAGCTGGTAGAAGTCCCCAACCACCACCAGTTGCACTCCTAACAAAGACAGCGTGAAAGGTCCGCTGCAAAAGTAATGATGTATAATACCACCAAAAGGCAGCGAAGATCCTCGACAGGCTCGAGCCACAGCATTGACCAGTTGGAGAACTTCCCCACTTATCATGCTTACTTCGTCGATGATTAACACCTTAAAAACAAAGTTAAAGCCTCCAAAAATAAGGATATAGAAGGAAAAAATATATAACTTTGGTGTTTTTCCATCTATCACAAAGTTTGCGGTTATATAAAGCCTGGAAGGCTACTGTTTCCGCTGTACCTTTACCTAACCCAATACCTGATAACCAATGCCAGAAGTAAGACGAAGAGGAGACGCTCATAGTCTCGCGAGAATAAAGTACCAGAAAAAGAATGCAAGGTTTGGCCTTTAAGTGGGCAGGTTGCTATTCCAGTGGAAGCCGTCACAGCGACAGCACTGGAACCATAGAGCGATTGCAGTTTGTCTTAAACAACAAAGTTGGGTTCCGGAAAGTTAAAAAAATTACATGTATATACCAGCTAAAAAGCGGAGAAGAAAGGACTTCCCTGTGCCGGCCGCACCCGTAAGAAAAAAAGATTCACCTTGAAGTGCGCTCTGTACTACAAGTTTCTGCTCTTGGTTTAATTGATCCTCGCGTGGTATGCTCTCATAGGCAGGGAAAGCTTCACATTTTTCCTTTCTCCTTTCTAGATTTCCCGTTCCAAAATCAGAATTACGAGAGCCAGAGAGCTCCTCTAAGTTGCTAGAGCGGTTCTGTTCATAAGTTTTTTCATTCGTTTTACTATCCGCTGACAGTTTATAAGTATAGTGACCAAAAAAAAATATTTATACCATTCACATTAATAGTAATAATTTTTTTTACTCGAAGCTAAGAGTAATCTAACTGTTATTTATCACCAGGTCTATGAATTTCAAGTATCGTACGAATATAATCTAACGATGGGGAAAAAAAGTAAACTTACCAAAATTTTCGGTAAATCGTGGTTTAAAATTAGATTGTTCAATGGAAGTATCCTTGGGTTGTGAAAAGTAACTATAATGTATAAAGTTTTTCATTTTTTTATTTATTAATCTACCAAGTATGTATAGTTTTTTATATCCTTCAACTTTCATTTAATTTTCTATTACCATTTACCTAACAATTCTAATTAGAACTAACAATACATTATGTAATATAATATATTTTGTTTGACCTTGTTAATAAAGATCAAAGGAAGCCCAGTTTTAAGTTACTACAAAGCATGCATCATATCTTTAAATAATTTTTTTAAGAGTACCCGGAACAAGAGAGGCACGCTGAAGACACGAGAAAATTAGTAGCTTCTTCTTTGGATGGTTTTATTTAAAAATTGACTTCCTTGTGCTCGATCGATTTTAAAAAACACTGCATTAACGAGCTATCAACGGGGTGATAGCGTGCGCTGCGTCCAGTTGTTTGTAACTGATCTTCTGCCAATCATCGATTGGTGTGCTAAGCCGTTGTAGGTGGTAATACGGTAGTAAGGGGTTTAAGCAGGATGTTGAGGAATTGCATCGTTTCGAACATATTACTATACGCAAGTCATGACGCGTTGCGTGAAGAGAGTTAGCTTTAGTACAAAGCAAAGGATGCAGAGTTTGAGCCGTTGTCTTAACCTTGGCCGCTCCAGCACTAGTATACCTGTAGCCGCATAACAGCATATAGCCAATGCTAACCCCTGAATACTTTGCTTGGGAATATCACGGGATTATTTTGGTTTCAAAAACCAGTAGCAGTGGTAAAGCGGTGCGCTTCTTCGCGAAAAAAAGGTTATGCATTTTTCGCAATAATGGTTATTCTCCAACGACCACTCCAATACGGGGGAGTTCGAGGTTTACTAGATATCACTGCAGTTGCTGGTGTAATAATACCGGTGGGCTTTGACGAGGAGGAAACCGCCGTAACAGCTGCATATAAGTCAAGGCAATTGGCTCGTGGGGGTAGGCGGGCTGTGGCATCTCGAGCATATAAAGTGCAAGGAGCAACGGTGACATAAGAATTTTAGTAGTTTTACGGGCGAGCGTCACCTTCAAGTGTATCCTTAAGATGAGGTTTAAGTACAGGAGGGAGGGCTGCAGTGCTCACTTTGTTAAGCATGCCCTTGTGCCAAGCCTGTTCATACGCTTTTGGCTGTTAAGAGAAATGCGCTCTAAAACCTTTAATTTAACAGCTTATGAAAGATTGTGAAAACAAAGAATCTATTTTTATTAAGATGAGGATAATTTGAAAAAGTAAAAGATAAACACATCTTTTAATTGCTTCACTTTTTACCTCTTTAAAGAGCTAATATACCTAATTTTAATTTCATATTTTAGCTTTATGCAACGGCGAAAGTAAGACGAGGAGTTTATTATAACTCTAAATTCATTTTCTTAGGCCAATCGAGACTAAAATTAACAAAGTTTATTGGAACTTATTCAGCTTTATTACGAAGAGGAATGAACGAAATTTGGTAAGGCGTACAGAGTAAATTTGTTTACACTTACATAACAGTCACTGTTACTACTACAATTTTTGTGTTTTGTAGTTACTTTTGTTATTATTAGTATAATTATATACTGGTTAAACCATTTTTGCTAATTTTTTATTACCGTTTTCTTCAGGATAGTTAGGGGCTAATTTTTATTTTCAATGCCTTTATAGCTCGAAGGTGTATATAGTAGTTAAAGGGAAGAGTACAGATTATAGTCGCTTTGTGTTTACAACTACTCCCTTCTACTTCAGTTGCATTTCTACAGAAGTCAATTATTAAGGCTTCTAAATTTAAATTTACTGTCTCAAGCTTTTTTCGGAATACTTTAATAGGCAGCAAACCAATGTAAACTCTTCTCTGTCATCTCCCCAAACGAACTACCTTGAAAGAATTTTTCTATTATGCTACGTTGTAGATTCAAGAGCGCAAAGGCAGCATCTTGAAGTTTATTACCCCCATTACTAAAGTTTTTAGCCCACGTCTTTATAAGAGCGAAGCAGAAGTAGTGACTATTGAAAACTGAGATTTCTCGGGGAAAATTTTTTTTGGGACAAAATACACTTGAACTTTTATAATTTCGGTATGACAACGAACAATTTACATAATAAATATATAATAACATTAACAGAGTGGCCCAAGTCTATTCTATACTCTTGACCAATTTCTTTTTAAATATATGAGTGTGCATACAAAAGGGATCCCGCATCCTCCGAGCAACCAGCTGAAAACCGATCCACTGCTCTTCGGTATGCTTTATCCAAAAAAAGGGCCGCTATAGCTTCCCCCGTTTCCGTGGATGCAGTACGTCTTTGTTCATCATGAAAGGGCGAAGCACTGGAGGCACCACTACACTGCCGTCTTTTTGCTGAAGGGTTTCCAGGATTGCAATAAGCACTCTGGGAATGGCGCAGGCTGTCCCATTTAGAGTATGAACAAACCTTTTCCTTTCTAGTAAATAAAAAAGAAATATAAGACAAGAGAAGGTCTGATTATATAAAGGCTTTATGAAGGCTAATTAAACTAAAATAGGCAAACAAATTGACTAGCAGTGTGAGCTATACAACGGCCGTAGTTTTTAAATTATAGTGGCTTTAAAGGAAACAAAAATAAGCAGACGGTTTTCGTCTCTGTAGCAGATGTTTAATCTTCGGCTTTGATAGTCCGTGCAATTGGAGGCGCTAGACACCTGCGCAGCGCACTTGAGAAGAAGGGGTTTCATTTCATGCAATATGGAAACCTCTCCGAATCGATTCGAACCGGGCAGCCACGCCTCAATATCAATCTTTCGGTACGCCGGATGGCCCAAGTCCCGGGCGGCCATATCAAGCGCCTATCAGTCGCCTTATAGCTTTACATCATTAAGGAAACCGGCCAAAGGGGATGGACCTGCGCATGCAGTCCAAGAGAAGTAAGAAAGTCCCGCTGAAACAAACATATTTCGTGCAACAGTGCGTCACTCTTCTCTAGATCATCTTCAGTTACACAAAAAAGCTCGACTTTGCTGAACTGGTGCACCCGAAACAACCCACGTGAAGACGCTAAGCAGAGCGTTTTTTAAAAGATGCAGAAAATGTAATGAAACTATACCGCCTGCTCCAGCTTCGGCGCGGTACGCTCGGCCAAAACCCACAAGTTTTATCGGAAAACTCTTGCGGGCTGGATAAACTATAATGATTATGAGAAAGAAAAAGAAAGAGTTTGCCAGTACACAGCTCTTGGTAATGAAGGAGGCCAGCCAAAGGGACCTCGGCTGTTCCAGCCAAGCAAAGATCTTCACTTTTTAAACTCAACTTATAAATCTTTTAAAACGAAAAGTGCTATAAAAAAAATTAGGAAAAGAATTGAAGTAAAGGAAACCTGAGTATTGCTGGCTTTGGGCTGAAACCCGCAAGCTGTGACAAATTCTGAACGAATAATATCGGGAGTCATCAGTGGAGTAAAGCCTGAGCCATAAACAAGAGCTTACGGCGAACCGGCAACACCAACAAAAAACTTTGAGTACCGCGAGAGACAGCAAAATTAAAAGCGTACGAAATAAGAGCAACTTCCAATAAGGCCGCTTCGTTCTTCAGATAATAAAAACCGTTACCAGAAACTTTAGAAGCTACCATTTCAGTGGTTTAAATAGAAATAAGAAACAAAAAAAAGTCACATTGATCACCGCAGCCCCGCCAAAATGTGTACTAGTGTTCGCATGCGTTTCTAGAAAATATAAAAGAACCTCCTAAATGTCGCTAAGTAACTTATATGGAACCTAACATACATTTGTACTGGTGTGAAGTGAATATCAAGCAAAACTTTAGAAATAGCGCAAGGACCAATAAAGAAGGCCGTTCACAGAGCAATTCGTATTGGGCTTAAGGTGTTTAGACTTTAAGTAACCGTACACTTTTCATCATCTCCGAAAATTCAAGCAAAGACCAGCAGCACGTATCCAGGTAACTCTTGTCTCCATTTTGTAACTCACTAGCTGCAGATCTCGATTAAAGGGCATCTAGAGCCAATATAGGTAAACAGTGTTTTCGCTATTTAGAGGTTTGCAATCGCTGACTGCAGAATTTTAATTAAAACACTAGTAGAAAAATGCCTACAACAGGTTATTAAAAGTAACAAGTAACGCTAAACACTAGATCAGGGCATGTTCATAACCATGACGTCCAAATACATTATAAAATGATATTTACATAAACGACAAACGAAACTAATTAAGGGTTTGTTAGTACCCTGCTGAAAGTCAACCAGATTCAGCAAACTACAGAGATTAGTGTGATCTCGAGGTTCATAATCAAAAGTAGGTTTTTCCCCAAAAGTAAACATAATTTGGTTTACTGTTTCTGTAAAAAGGTAAAAGTCTAAAAAAGGCTTACAGAAACCCAAATGAAACCTTTAACAGATGGATGTATCAAATTGGGCAACTGTTCCATAAGTAGAAGAAGTTCCTCTTGTTTTCGTTTATATTGATCCTTTAAAATAATTGCGCAATATTAAGATTTAAAAAATAAATCAAAGTATAAAAGAAAAATAGTTTTAACGAGTAACTACTTTGTAGATCCTCATCTTATCTTTAATTTCAAGTAGTTGACCACGAAGTTCTGTGCATCGTTGGTATTGTTCATTTTTTTTAAAATCAGCAAGAATCCTCGTATTTTTATTTTTATCGATGGAATAAGACTTCATTTGACTAATAATCTGGCGAAGCTGTAAAATATAGGGCTTTGCAAACAAAATATAGACCGGGTTACAACAATAACCTCAAGGTGCAAGTCTTCCAAGCGTTTTAGGTCAAATTGTAAGTTCCTCCAAGCTAAGCTTACTTTAAAAGCTTCCATGTTGCTCAAAATTTTGCGTAACGAAAGACGTGGTCTTTGAAGAATGCGCCTGACTAATTGTTTCTTTGGAGGTTCAAAAAAGCCTTCCATTTTTTCATAACTCGAACTACAAGAAGTAGATTTTACTTCGCTTTTTAACAAATGCATGTTAGTGTTTGTGTTATAACAGGCAAATAATTTTTTTATAAACTTTTCATTGCACAAAGTTCCTTTTTTGTGTAACGCTCTTAAAAGTATAACATAGCGGAAGTGGTGCAAGAAGAGACCGCCAGAAAACTCCATGTACAAGGAAAAATGCATAAGCAGTCGGTCACTTCTTTGCAAGTATCGCTTTCTAAGTGCTCGAATGTGTTCAATTTTAAACACTCGTATACCAAGGCTAATAAACCCTATCATGACCTATTTCCCCTCACCCCCTCTTCCTTCCCAAACAGTATGGTTGGATATGTAGATGATTGTTTGAAGAGAACCTAACTGACTTTAAAATTGCTAGTAACCAAAATTTTTATTAACAAAAACCCAACTAAGTTTGCTTTTGCCATAAAAGTTAATTAAAGTGAAAAAAAAAAATTAACAAGAATAAAGTTTTAGGTAACATGCATTGTTACAGGCAAGTATTTTCCAGTTATATTACTTTTCTCAAATGAATCCTCTTATGATGTTAACATGAACTTTGAACCTTTAGTTTTCCTTAATTCATGCAAACTTTAATTTTTTTTATTGACGAAGAGAAATTTTTTCTCAGGTCTAGTGAAGTAGCCACGCTACAATTGTGAGGGCTTTCCCAAGGAAGAAGAGGTTCATTCACTTTCTCGTAGACCATTATACTATATCCGTCCTAGGTTTTTACTGTAAAGGGCGTTTTTGAAATTTCAAATAGAGGTTGGCGCTGTTTGTGTTGGTAGCAACTGTAGAATCAGCGATGTTAACTAATCTTAAGAGCTTTTTCTTGAAACAGGGAAGCTTTTTTAGCTCCGTTTCCCTTTATATATCTTCTGCGACGTATTTTTTCCCCTTTTTTCGGATTTCACTTGAAATTAAAACATTCTAAAGTATGTGTACTTGTAGGCTAAGTTTTTTAACTAAAATTGTTTTCTTTGAATTATAATTTTTTCCCTTTTGTATAACGTTATTAAATTATTATTACAAAGGAATTACGTATATTCTAATAAGATTTTTAAAGCTCTTTATTCCATAATGGATGATTTTGATTTTGATCTCGATTTCACCGAAGAAATTGACGAAAAAACCGTACTCTTACTTACAATTTATAACTTACTATTAATAATATAAACTTTTAGGAAGAACAGGGTGAGTTAAATATTATTGAAAGTGCTATATCGTTGAGAGGTTAATTGAAAACCTATAGAAATTTATCTATGCTCTTAATAAGTATAGGGAGTTAAGATTGGATATTTATAATTATAAAATACTTATATATATATATTAGAGGTAGAAAGTCTTAGCTCTGAAGCCAACACTATTAAGCTCAAGCCATTTAACTTAGATAAAAATGCTATTACCAGACTTTCCCCTACTAACCAGTATACTTCCTTGAGTGAGTCTTTTCAATATACAAATTTTCTTTTACTTGTAAAATTTTAATGATTTGTTTTCTAGAAAAGAGTAGCGAAAAAGGAGAACATGAGGAGGGCGAGCTATCCGTTGAAGGTATTTTTTGGCCTTATAATTATTGAGCCTTCTCATGTTATCTTTATATTCCACTCGTTTAGTTCTAAATGTCACTGTTAAGAGAAAAGATCGTACTCCAGAGCAGACATCGACACGTTCTTCGGAAAGCGTTCGTTTTTCTATTAGTTTATGGTCTGAAGGCGGAGAACGCATTAAAATACTCAAACATATTTTTTTATCGACCAGTCTTCTTTTTGTCGCCGCCTAGACCGTAGATCCGACCTTCTCCATAGAACTGACCTGCACTTAAAAAAAAGTTTTTTGATGGACTATGACTTTCCCTCTATTAACGTAATATCTTTTAAGGCAGTTCTTTTCTTTTTGACGCACTTGTGTTATCACCGCAGTCCGGTAATTATGAAGACGCTTGGGTCTCCAGCTACGATAGAGCTAAAAGTTTGTTGTTAGCTGCTAAGAGAAGGCGCGAGCACGTAACTATTGGTTGTGTTTTTCTACTTTTTATAACTTTTAAGTTTGCTGAAAGGGCGAGGACCACCCACTATCATCAAGGCAACCCGATAGGGACGCCAGTACAAAAGTTGGCAGCACAAGTCATCTTTCTTCAAACTTGTTAAGCAGACTTTCAGTCATGTTTCACACGCACACTCCTTACGGCAAAGAAGGCGCTCGCCTTATTAATAAGCCTTCTGTAAATTTACGAAGTGATGAGACGCACGAAAAAAAGGCTGTTACCAATAGACTTAGTAAAACCGCTCACATTAGAGAGTGGGATAAGGGAAAAAACGAATTTTGGAGCGACACTGTCGCCACCAGTGGTGATTATATAGATAGCCGAGTTACCGCTGAGGGCCCCCCAGTCAAGACGAGACTTGCAGAGTCCACAGAAAAAAAGCGTCGCAACATTGCTGTGAACAAAAATGTTTCAGAAAGTCATAATAAATCTCTTGGGACAGAAAAGTACAAGCGATATAGAAGACGCAAGGATAGAGGTTAATAAGTCAAAGATTGAGGAACCTTTGCAATATTACTCGTTATAACTTCTTGGCGGCTTTGCTCTGCTTTCTCCGTTTGCTTTTACCCCTTCCCAATGAAAAAAAGTACTTATTAAAAATACATTTTGCTAACTATGTAACAAGCAATTTTTAATAAAGGTTTATTACTATTTGCCTTCGTTTTTTCTAAAAACCATTATTTTAAGTGCCTTTAGCTTAATAAGTTTATAATGCTCGTGTGTTCAACTTTTTTTACCTCAAAAATTGGCAGTATCCCACTTGTGCAGTCTGACCTTTGCGAGAGCTTTTTTTTTCAAATGCTCAACATTTAAGCATATATATAACTTTGCATATGCACATTAACGAATTGCTTTGGTAATAAACGTTACTTTACAAAGTGTAGAAAGTTTATTATGCTATAAGAAAGAGAGAAACAAAAAATGCTTCCCACCTTGAAAGTGAAATAAAGTTGTATTTAAGTCAAATCCTTTTAATAACTATCCTAGTATTGCCTTTAGATCTTTCAAGTATTAAATACTTTACTATATTTTTAGGATTACTTTTTTTTAATTTCTTCACATATATATTTCTTTTTACTTACACAGTCAAACCTTTTGTAATATATAATTATAACAAAGCAGAAAAATATAACTATCAGTTAAAGTCACTTAAGTTACCTCAAAAAATCCTGTAATCTCATTTGATGCCCTTACCTGCCTTTTTTTTTATAATTTAAATCTATTTTTTGTAGAGGGAGAAGGGCGGAGTAAATGTCCCTCCCTTCAATCGCAAACTCTCATTTCGTTGCAAGTTCCGAGCGTAACCTCGAAAAGATTAAGTTTTACTCGTTACGTAAAATTTTTAGAATTTAGAATTTGTATTATTCGACATAAAAGCAATATATCGCTTTAATCGAAAATAAAGGGAAGTTATTCTCGAGAATATTTTGATATATTTGTCTAGATTTTACCCCCTGCGGAGCGATGTCCTAACAAGATTGTTTAGTTCGTTTAAGTTAACCTTTTGAAATTTAAAAAAATACGAGTGTTTTATGCCTAAATTCTTGTTTAAATATCTTTGTCTGAGATATTGCGTAGTATCCTACGGAAGGGCCTTGGAGGTTACCACCATTAATTTGGTCTTCTTGCTATTTTCTTCAAACATCGCACACGTCGGCACTTTCACTTAAGTCGCGCTAAGACCTTCCCACCGCGACTAATAGCGGACACCCACCAGTTTCTACTCCTAAAACGTACACCACATCACTTTAACTTTTCACTGTTTATAGCTCACATCTGATTTTTCTTGGTAGCTGGAACAAGAGTAATTGGGAATTTAATCTGTTAGCTTTCCCATCAATCCTTTTTTGTCAATCCTTGGTAGCTTGAGTAAGTTTTTTCGTAGTTACATACCAGTAAATTTTTTTTAATTTGTAGGGAATTGTAAGCGTAACCACCAGACAAGAAAAATGCGAGTTGGCACCGCGAAAATGGAATCCACGGCTTTGAGCTTCGCGACCATGCCCTAACCATTGAGCTAGGGCGACAACTCACTCCTTTGGTCAATAAATTACTTATACAACTTTTATTACATACTAACCTTAGTTTTTTTTTTTTTCAAGTAAAGGCCCCTACTCACGTAGTCTTCCGAGTTGATTGTAGCGCTTTTAACAGTGATACGGATATAAAGAGAGTTACAAGATTACTAAATTATTCTTTAACTGCACTAAAAAGTTAATGACAAGAGACTGGGCTTGTGTTTCTTTTGAATATTACATAAATAATAAACTACATATGGTAATGTGCATATCCTAGGTTTTACAGCATGTCAGCTTGTGATAGGTAGGGGGGCTCTTATAAGGATCTACTATTGGCTAAACACGGAAAGTGTAAGTAGCGTAGCGTTTAAGAAGGCTAAGTAAAACAAGACCAGTAAAAGGCAACCTCCGGGTAAAGTAACCGTGCGATAGTTCGTGTTTTTATTTTTCTTTTGCGTTCCCATCAGTTTATTATAATATATTTAATTAATGCTATAGCAACTTTTAGGTTTATATTTAAACATTATTTCTATTTATACCGTTCCTTGTTAATTAAAGGTCACAAATTAAAGTGAATATACCGTTACCGCTGATACATTTTAACAACATACGAAGGCAATTACATAATAGTTCTTGCTATTTGTTTATAGTTTTTATTGTTTTACTTTACGTAATACTAATAGAGGGTTGGAGAAGTGGACGAACTATTAATACTAACAGACATTTCTAAAGCAGTCTAAGTACATTTTATTAGCGTAGTCTTAGTTACACGGTTTGATGAACTGAGAATTTATAATGCGCGCAAATCAAAAATAACGTGCTCTCTTAAAATACTTAGCGTCTCAGCTACTCAGAATTTTTTTGCATTTGACTTGATCTTAGGATGTTTATACATGCAAAAATGCCTTTAACGCTGATTTACCCAATGTAAGTTTTTTGTAAAAATATATTTCTTTGACCTTAATTTTTAAGAAAATTCAGCACTGCATTATGCATTATTCGTGCGTCTCGAAAACAGTTTCACATACCGGGCATATAACTAATCCTTATTATCGTTTGTTTTCTTTTTTTATTATAAATTAGTATGCGAAAGTCCAGCTTGACTCCATTAAAGCACACTTTTATAGAGCCAAAAGAGCTTTCAGCCGACTACGACGGCCGAGTTATTATCCACAAAGACATAAGGCGGTATTTCCATATTTGTTGGGGCTGGGCCTTGGACAGTAATTTCGTTTAATAGTAAGCCGGTAAAGCAATTCGGTTAGTGAGTTACCCTTTCGAATCCGGCCGGAAATGTCGTAGTGGGAACCGTGACATGGGCAGAACCATCCACCATAATCCCCGGCCTGGTAACGTAGACGAAAAAGGATATTATCATATGAATGATAATGATAATTCTAAGAGTACCTCCCCCACAGGGATGCAGCCTAGATGGGTGCACACGCCAATCATTATTAAGTATCTTGGGTCCTTCACCCGATCGCTGCGGATGTACCTTTTTTTATAAAAGAAGAAAAACAATACTTCAAAAGGTAACCTATCCGCTTCGGGGTGGCGAAGAGAGGTGATATCCACACTGTTGGCCTCGTCAATCTCTTCTTGAGTGCGGTGACGGATAAACAACGGCTTCCCCCTCCACATTACCGAAATGGAGGAACCCTCCGGAATATCTTTTATACCAACTTCAAGCAAATTCGTTATTAAAGAGAATTTACTTACAAATATTAAGTAATCTCAATTTACAAACTTAAAGAAAAAACACTGCTTATGTATTTTTAGTGACCATAAACATAGAAGCTTACGCACCTTCCACTTTGGCTAAAGCTAAAACATCCTCAGAGGGAGCCATATAGCCTACTAGTGAGTGTACCTGGTAAAAGGTAGCAAAGATAAGATAGAACGCATAAAAAATTTGCTAAAGTGATAATAAATTTTTAAAGATGGAAATTAAATCCTAAACAACTTTTAAAAAAAAATTTCTAAAAAAAGCAAAATTATAAGGGCTAAACGGCCTAAATAAAAACTACAAAAACCACAAGGCAGGAAGATCCAGAAATTAAAAACTGTTTTTTTTTTTAATAACTTGGTATTATACAATATTTTTAGCGGATATAGATCCTGCAATAGCGGCCCCTCCAGTCATAAGATAAGTAAAAACGCGGCTTTTCTGGTATTCACCCCTATAATCACGGCCTGTTCCCCTGCGATAACAGTCGAAGGAAGGGGGCTCTAGATCCGTGTGTGCAAAGCGAATTGCACCAAGCAAAGAAAGGGCTGTGGACCTGTATACTTTAAACCTATTTTTATTAAAAATTAAGATCTTCAAACAAAAATTTCTTTTGGTAAAATAGATAATTTTAATTAGGCAACAAGATGTGTAATAAGTAAAAGCAAGAAGCTTACTTATTACTGTTATATACTTTTAAGGGATCGTTGAAGGTACTATTAGAAACGGTCGGCTTTACCCATTGCTTCACGTGAAGCAAAGAAGCGGAAGATATCACGGACGAAAGAGTGGATTTTACAGAGTTACTCAAACAAAACATTGACTTTTTTAAAATAGACAATACTCTTAATTAGATATAAGGCACAAAGTTGTGGTTCTTAACCCAAGAAAAATGGGGCGCCTTACCTATGAAGCCTAACCTCTAGACCTTAACAAATGAAATCCTGTTTCCAGGTGTGTCAAAACTCAATTTTCTGAACTCAAGGAGACCATCGTTTACCTTAGACGATGGAAGATAAAGAGTACGGGGACTCAGTGCAGGGCATTTCAAAGTACTTTCTAAAGAAAATTTTAAAGGACTAACATATTAATGCTTTTAATTTAGCAATAACAGTTACACTACTAGAAACTCCATACACATTAAGCAAGTTAATAATAACTTAGTACAAAACTGTTCCTTAGCTTATAGATTTTCAACATTAGGAATTATGCGGATTTTATTCTAATTAATGACTCATAAAGTTAGGATTCTTATTCATAAAAAATGTAATAGGATTTAGTATTCTCGAAAAAAAGATCTCGAGCTATTGGCTTGAAAGGATGATAGAGTTGTGGGTCTGAATTGAACCTGATTTCTATTTACATTTGTAAAGGTTGAGCTCATTCAAGGTAAAACAGTGATAGGATAAAGTACTAGAAGGAATAGTGGAATCCTGCTAGCATAGTTTTTGAAATTTTTTGGATAACCTCTCTTCGACTTAGGAACGCGTTAGGTTTAGGGCGACCGGCATAGCAAGTTAATGTCGGGTTGCATTGCTATTTGAGGGCAGATTAGGGTAAACTTACTAGCTGAAAGATATGTGGGTTAGTAACCCTCTATAATTAAATGCTTTCTTAAAGTAGAAATAAAATTGTGCTGTAAGCTATACTTAACTTTATTAATTATCATCATTTGGTTATGAATATGGTTGTCTTGCTTTAACGCACGCTGCAAAAAGTTGCCCCCGAGGGAACTGAAATAGTGATAGCTGATAAGGGTATTAAACTCTCTTTAAAATAGAACAGAAAGCGATTCCCTTTCGGTTGCAAATTTGGTAGATTATATTTTACACTATTATGTCTTTTTGTAGAATCGTCTGTACTTTCTCTTTAAATATTACTAGTGGTGTAGATTAAGTAGAATTATTGCCAGCGAGGACCGTCTGCTCTAAATTATGAAAAAACTGAGACGTGTCATATCTTCTCAGGTTTTAGTTAAGTAATACTGCATTAATAGCAAATAGTTGCGAACGAAACTTAGGGGTGTACTGTCTCGGCTAAGAACTTACTTTATTGAGTAATACTAATTTTTAATATTTGGCACAGTTCCTAGGTGCTTCAAATACAATTGTTAGCTGGCTTTTTAAGTTATATTAGTCTTTGGTATCTGGGAACAACCGGCTGGTTGAGCAATGAATATTAATGCCTACTGTAGGGCTCTAGTTGAACTCTAACCTGTAGGACTAATTCAATGTTACTAATATTATTAAGTTAGAATCGAACGCTCAATGTAGAATTTTTTAATAAAATTACATTTTTAGTGTAATTGTGACGTACCAAGTAAGAGAGGACTAAAAAGGTTGCTCTTTAGTTTAGTTGAGCGAGAGAAGGGGGCCGACTGTCCAAGTTATTTACTCGCGCGTCATTCCTAGAGGTAGAGTTGCCTACAGCCATGGATATAGCGCCATCTTGGACAGTAGCAATGGTCATAGGTAGGCCTTGAAATGTTTATAAATCAACTTCGCTGTTAATGGACGGTGTGTTAGCGTAGAAACTCTCTGAGCACAACTCAAAACAGTTAAACGTGTGGCCAATCCTTTGCAAATCTACTAGAAATATAACAATACAGTCCTACTGTCGACTAACAGAATTTTTTTTTTGTAAGACTCTCTGCTCATACCGGCTCTTAGTGCTGTACATGACATTCTTCCCGAAAAGTCCCACAGTTGCGTGACTCTGAACTCTACGCGTATTAAAGGAATCCCTTATCACTAAGGTGACTCCAACAGTTTTACTTGGAAACGCTCGCCAAGCGGTACTAGCAAAGGAAAGTAACCATTAATCCAGAAAAAAACAAAGCAATTCTCATTCAAGATGCACTGCGTTATTCCCGCCTCTAACCCTCGAAGATGTAAGATCCTATATAGTACTCAGCACAAATATTTGGCATCATCATTCTAAAGCGACTAACTTAGAGACAAAACGTAGAATTCATTCGTGGCGACTAGCAGCCCACGCACCCTTTCCACTACTCTGTGCTAAAAGCACAATGACTGCGCCTCTATAAAGTGAGCGTGCTCCTATATTGGCCTATGCATCTATAACTGGGAGGTATAAATAACCATCGACAATGCACTCCTGCAGTCGCAACAAAACAAGACCCTGGGGACAATGACACGTTAAACGACGACACAAGTTTGGAACACCTTGATGTCTTTTTTTAAAGTGCAACTAACTGTTTATTTGAACGAGTTCGAAGGTTTTCCAACCACCAGTGGGCTCTAGCACTTTCATACGAACCCTCATAGGCGCATGCTTTCGACGTGTCCGCTATGCACTTTAAGTACACACTCATTGTTTTCAAGATCCTACGCACATATGTATTTGTACTTAAAATAATTAGATGACTTGCGAAAAAGTACGCAAAATGCAGAACAAAGCAAACTGCGCTCAATTTTACTGGGCATCTGCACAAATCTATGAAGAAAATGAAATTAACCCTCCTTATTTTTTTGGTCACTAAGTTATTACCATACTTTAACTATATACCTTTACTTATTTATTGTCCTTCTATTATTTATAATATTAACTTTTATTTGCTTGTATTCCATACTACCTTATTTTAATTTTATATCACTTTTATCTACCGATATCGCCATTATAAGGTTTATTGTCAAAAATACTTCTGTTAAATTTATCGGTGAGCTTAAAATAGTGTTAATCCAAGGAATTCGTGAGGCTATTTTTATAAAAAAAAATTGGTGAGAAAAGTGCTACTCAAATTTTAAACAAGTTACTGTAGCCCCCTTCCAAAAACTGAAACTTGAACTCAAGGTTACTGAGCCAGAATTTTGCAATTTTAAACGTTTGAGACGCTTCCCTTATTACCTTTGCACACAAAATTTATGAATACTGTACTGATTTAAAAAACAAAGATTAATTAGTTTAATAGTTTGTTGAACGATGAGAATTTCTTTCAAGACAAGCTGAGGGGATGCATAATTGACAGTTTTATTCCTCATGTTAAGTATAACTAAAAAAAAAATTTTTACGAATTGTTGACTTGTAAATGAAATGGGGATCTGAACTTTAGTATCATAACATCTCATTGCAGTAGGGTTATACCAACAAAACTAAACGCGACTGCTATACAAAATATAATTAATGAACTGCTCCTCAACTTTGAAACTGGGATAAAACTTTTATACTGTTGTAATGAAGCCGCAAGAGACATATTGAAATTGTACTGGCTCAAATAGCCGTATAAAACATATTAATTTCGTCTTTTATTACGTTAAAAACGAATTGAAAAGAAAAAATTGTTTGACGGAACATCAGCAACAAACTTAGCTAACATGTTTACGAAGCCGTTGTCGCTCTAAAAAACCTAGAAGTCTAATCACAAATTTATCATAGTAAACAAATAACCTGTAGTTATAAACGTACTGAAAGGTTATGATATGTCTCGAACATTAAAACTCTTGGGTATCTCAAGAAAACCCTGGTACAGTGAAGAAACTTTAACAACAAAATTATAATCTAAATATTATAAAAAGGGGAGAGGGAACTGGCCAGCGGCAATGTGGTTGGCGCCTCCGTAAGGCCTAGGGTCTAGTACTCAGCCGCCAGTCTTTTAGCCGAATAGTGGAAATCAACCCCCTATACGCCTCCTGCATCCCTCAATAGACATACGGGCGCTCAAGTTAACCAAGCATTCGCATTTAATTTGTTTCTTCTTGGCCTCTTCATGCTCTAATCTAGTCATATATGATATTCTGTGCTCAATTTTTCTACGAGAAGAGTAAGTATTGTTTTCAAGAATCAGTCAAAAAGTTTTATCTTAAATCAATTTCGATTTTCTACCGCCCCAAAAGAGTACTCCCCCAGCCCTTAAGGGAAAAAAAACTATTTATTGTACCCAGGGTCCAGCAACTTTCTATGTCACATAAAAAAACTTATCTTTAAATTCAAATTTAAACCCCTTTAAGCTATCTATTTATATAATTGACTGAAAATATTAATTAAAGACAACTGAACTTTTTAAGAAATGTTACAAGTTTTATATAAATATAAGTTGGCATAAAACCAGGGCTTTAAAATAAATTTTTGATAAAAAATTCTTTTTTACTTCCCAATTATGTGTATAATACGATGGAGAAAAGGGGAGGAGCAATCGCTTTATTGTCCCTAAGAGGAGGGGTATTTGTACCTTCAGGGAAATAATATCGAATGTAGGACAAGAAAAATACACATGCGCGTATACATGTGGTGTGAGCACGCGATTTCTTAGGGTTACTCCAACATAACATAATTGCTTAAATTTTAGTTTCTTAATTATAACACGTTTTACTCTTCGCTACAGCCCTTGTTCTTTTTAAGATATAGCTTCTGTAAAGGTAATAATAAATTTACCAGTTATTAAGTAAAACAATGAAGTTATCGAAGATTTCCTTTTTACAAACTTAGAAGTGTTGATAGCAAATGAGTTATTAATATTAACACCAACATGCCTACCCGAGTTACTGCTGCTTTTGTAGTATGGCGAGGGGTTCTCTTCCGTTTTTGAAGTCCTTTTTTTTCGAGTGCGCTTAAGTTATTTCCCTTGTTTTATGCTACTTTTTGCTGCAAAAATTAAATAAAGCTGGACCTCTCCAACTTCTTACAAAAATACTATAATAGAATCCTTTTCTTCTTTTTTGCGAAGTTAAACAAGTTTATAGGAGTCGCTTTTTAATAACACTGACAACGAAAAAAAGAACGGGAGTTATTTTATTACAGGCCATCAGGCGGTTTATACCTTTACAAACGACTTTTGATCTAAATTTTGGGTTCTTTAAACAAAAGTTTAACGGTTCCGTTTTAGAGTCAGAGTCGATAATAACCATAGTTGTGTACAATAAATCTTTTGGTTTACATAGCCTCTGCCAAGTTTAATATCGCGTTTATTTTGATAATATTAACTTATATTTTTGATTGGTTTATCTTTTGATTATAGTTCCAGTGTGGTTTATATTTTTGTGTAGATGTCTGTGGAATTTATAAAACTTTTGGCTTTTGTTTGTTTAAAACTCCCAATCTTCTAGGGTAGTGTTTAACTATAGCGCCTATATAAGGTAGCGAAGAATAACAGAATTATAGATTACAGCCTAAAGATTGCGCTGCTCAACCGATATACGAACAAACACACACTAAACCGACTATTAAGCAAAGATGCATCCTCGTGTAGTCTTCCAAAAAAATTATATCCTTAAATTAAGTCACAGATTAGGATTAATAGCTGACATTCGCGAACATTCTACTAACATACACTTTGTAAATAAAATGGTATTAGGCAATAAACACGGTTACTATTTTAGTAATTTTTGGTATAATGTTTAGTAGACTACCGCGTAATAAAAATGTTTCTTCATAAACGGCGACTTCGAGTACGATCAGTTGTGCTTTCAAAAAAATTACCTCCTACTAAGGAGAGGTTGATAACGCTAATCCGTACTCTTTGATTTACTTGAAAATCACTATGTTAAATTAGTAAAGTTTTCGGCTCGGGGAACCGTTGACTAAATTTTAATGAAAGCAAAGACTTAAGAACTTAGTAACAAAAAACGGATTATAAAGGTTTGGCTATATTTATAAATATATTTTGCCCTTTACATGTTAGGGTATTTAAACCTTTACTGACGGTATCTAAACCCAACCCTTTAAAATTAATTGTAAACAAATGTATATAATAGAGAGACGTACAGGTGTGACTAAAAAAAAAAAAGCACTGAAAAAAATTAACACGACTGCCTTTTTATTTTTCGTGAACCTTCCTTATATACTAACAAATAAGCAATGAAATAATCCATAATAATCATAAAATTGCCTAAAATGGTAATTTGCGTTAAAACTTATGAACTGGGATTTTTTCTCAACATTACATATCACTGTTCATTAACGCAAGTAAATTAAATTTTGTTGTCTATATTTTTTTTTCTCTTACTTTTGCACTCGTTTTAAGTGAGTATTTTTTTCCTGTTAAGAGTTATAAAGTTACTAGAATTTGGGCTATTACTTAACGTAATATTATATTTTAAATTTATAGAGCTTTTGGTCTTGTAACATTAGCAGAGTACTTTTCGAAATATATAATATAACCATTTTAAAAAAATGATTAAAACATATTATTTTACAATATAAAATAGGGAGACTAAAACTACTTTAACTATATCATATACATTTATAATAAATATATAATAACATTTTAAACTCTTTTTGCTAACAAGAAAGTGTTTGTCGATATTTTCGTTGATAGAGGCTTCGAAAATAATATTAGCAGTAGAATTATTAAGTAAAACAAAAATTGTTTTAAAGTTGTAACTAGTTGTACTATTATTACCAACAAGTCAATAACTTTTAACTATATGTTTAGTAATCTTCTACACAATGCGCAGCTAAATCGATTTTACTGCCGCCTCTCTAGGTACCCATGAAGATTGATTTTTAAATTTCATTAAATTAGTACTAATAGTAGTGGTTAGTTACGCGGTACTTGGTCTAATCCCCCCTCTCATTTTTAAAGATATAAATCAGGATTTGTATGTTTACCCATCCTGTTATTAAAGGTGTTTATAAAAACAACGTTCCAATGTACTCTTGTATGGTTTCAATATTTATTTCCTTGCGATGTGAGCGTTTGTTAATCGTAATCTTACTTAAATCAATAAAAAGTCGAACTTGTGTACCCTTTAATGGATTTATTCCGTCATCTGTAAGGCTTCCAATTTCGAATAAAAACGAGATCAGGATTTTATTCCTTATATGAATCACCGCGAAGATATACAGCTACACGACGGCCAAAAATAATATCCAGTTCATTGGGTAACAAAGGCGGCCTTGAGGGCTTGTGCAGAAACAAAGACCACGTCTTTTGGTCACAAAAATTGCTCTTTGCTTATAATAACTACTGCTTAAATAGATTCACCCAGCGAAATAAATAAGTTGTCTATTTGCTTTTTATATAAGGATAACTAACTTTTTTTTTTCTTAAGTAGGTCATGTCATGACGTGAAGCACTAACTTGGAAAAATTAAGTAGAGGCCCTGGTTTTATATTCATCTCAATTAGTAAAGCGATTTTAATTTACTAACTACCGTTGATTTTAGAGGCCTGTAATCCTTGAAAATTTGAATAATTAAGAAAATAAGTAATACAATATAAAAGCCCAAAACCATTTATACGGTAAAAGATAGAGGTTAAGAAAAAGCAGCAGATGGTGCATGGGCTGCATTTATATACAACAAACCCTTAGTTTTATTTATTCTTAAACATAAGCCCTATTAAGAAAAAGTTGAAACTCTATTAAAATTTGTTAATAGGGGTATTACAAACGTAATTACCAAACCCAAAGTTGGCATAGACGGGGATCGAATCCTCAACCTTGAGTTTGCGTCACAATGCTCTAACCAAGCTACGACGGCAACTAAGATTTTAGGTAGACAAATTCATATACAACTTTTATTAAATTAATATTAATGAGGACGATTGCGACCATTAAAGATCAAAAAAAAAAAGAGTCGCATTGGTGGAAATCGAACCCAGGGCCTTGAGATTGCTCGTCGATAAATTACGTATATAACTTTTTTTTGCCTAGAAAACCGCCCGCCGCTAACATATTTTAACTGGCGGTCGTAGCTCTTTTTGCTGACTCACCGAATTACTTTTTGGGAAAGTTTATTTATATTAATGCCCACTAAAGGGGTGCATTTAGTTCTAGAAGTACGGCTTCGTGGTAGGAATTGTTAAGGACAGTTTGCACAAGTCAAAATTTTTGTGTAAACAAAAATCACCTCAATAATTTGGCCATGTGCTCGCTTTAATACAGCGAGTTAGAATAACATCCAGTATATTCGTGCAACTAACAATTTTATGGCTACTTCCACACCTTAACACCTTTAAAAAATACAAAGTAGAGTTATGGCTGATAAGTTACTAAATGAAGTTACTAATATATCTTAAAACCTCGAATTTGGGCAAAAAGCAAATTTTAAAAAAAAGCAAGTGCTTGCAGGTCTCGACTTTTAATTGTGCCGACCCTTTCCACCCCACCCCTTACCCCCGCCTCAAGGGCAGCACTAAAGTACGTTTGCGGCCTTCAAGCACATGCTATAAATTTTAAGTAGGTCCTTCAACCTTTCCTTCGTTCGCTTTTCTGGTTATAACTTTTTGTTTAGCTGCTACCTGGTAGAAGTTTTTAATTATTATTATTTACTTTTATGTTTTTTTTAATTATAAATATTTTTCTTTATTATAGATATTTATAAAAATGGTGCGAATGAGTGTTTTAAATGATGCCTTGAAATCGATTTACAACGCGGAAAAACGTGGGAAACGTCAGGTGTTGATTAGACCATCTTCTAAAGTAATTATTAAATTTTTGCAAGTAATGATGAAGCATGGTTATATTGGAGAATTTGAAGTTATTGATGACCACCGGGCTGGTAAAATCGTTGTAGAGCTAAATGGGCATCTTAACAAGTGCGGCTGTATTTCTCCTCGCTTTGACGTTCGTAATGAAGAGATAGAAAAGTGGGCTAATAACCTGTTACCTTCTCGTCAATTTGGTTATTTTGTATTGACCACTTCCTCTGGGATTATGGACCATGAAGAGGCACGCAGGAAACATACTGGTGGGAAAATTCTTGGATACTTTTATTAATTCTGTGTTCTACTTTGTTTTATGATAAAGTTATACTACTATAATTGTCATTGATTTAAAATTTTTTATTGTTTATTATCTCCTGTTTTCGTTTTTAAATCTTGTGAAAATAATCATAGTTATTAAATGCATATTTATTCAGCAGCTTAGTTTTTTATTAATATAATTCTTTTAGACCTTTTGCTTCTAACAGAGTTTATATGCATTTACAGAACTCTTTATTGACAATTTTATTAGTAAAGTAAGCTTATTTATGCTTACTTTGGGTTCTAATAGTTTTTATTAGATTTTTGAAAAGTGTGTTTATATTGTGGTAAGGTAACGCTTTGAGTTAGTATTCACTTTTTATAAGCGACTCGTTTTCTTTTAAAGTCTAACTCGTAACCTTGTGATACCGTGTGAGTTCATTATTTTTGCATTCTATACAATACGTAAAATAGCGTTAAATATAGGTGAAAAGTCTGCCCGTGCCCTTCATTAAAGACCTGAGTTACTTGAGAAGCCTCTTGTAGAAAGGATTTATTTATCTAGTGTAACTTAACAATAAGCTGAAATAATTAGTTTTTAGCTTTTAGCACAAAGGAAAATGTTTAATTTAATGTTTTTCTTATTAATGGTTGTTTATATGCTAGTGCCTAAGTGATATTGTTTAATACGATAACTATATTTCTCCCCCTAATTTTAAGTGATTATAAGCTTAAATAGGAATATAACGTTTTTGGTTGCTTTGTCAATTAGTTATTTTTTTTTGTAATAATAGTTTATGAGATTTATACAGTTTAGTCTTCGCACTAACTGTGCCATACAATTTAAATATGACTTTGTGTAATAAATTCTAAGCTCTCACAGCTTTTTTACGATAGAAAAGAAGTGCGGCCTTCGTCACTCTCATAACTTTAAAAATATTTGAAAGTTTTTATTAAAAAAAATTATTTCAGCCTTTTCTTAATGTTTTGACAAAAAGTAATAAAACCTTAACTAATAACCTTAACCTGATCTCTACTGAATAATTCAGATCGTGATTCAAAACTAATTTTTATTTTTCCAATGACTTAAGAATAGGTAGACTACCTTATATTTTTTATGGAAACTAAATTTAATGAGTTTTAAAGTCATTGCAAAAGTACTTTAATTTATATAAGTTATATTCATTCTAATCCTTTTAGATTTACTAAAGCAAGCCTTTTCTATAAAAGTAAGTTTATTTCATTGTTTGACATGTACTAATAGCAATAATACGAAATTACATAAAATACCTTCTTTCCTGCTTTGCACGCGCTCGGTTAGGCGAACGCAAGCAGCTTAGACTTAATTTGGACGCAAATAGACGCCCGTATAAATCCCACTCGTCCCAAATGTATCGGCCTCGGGACTACTGTAATTGATCTATAATGTATGGCTGTTTAATAACTCCGTCACATTTCTGTTTTAAGCACTGGCATACCACGGGCAGGCCTTCGTAAGAAACCTTCAGTCGCTTCAACTAAATTTCTCTCTCCCGAAGGACTGAAGAAGAGAAAAAAATCCGGCTCGGATTCCCATCATTAGACCTAGCGCGGTGGAAAACCGCTAAAAACCACCACTGTGCAAACCCTAGTCCACCTGAAGACACCGACCCTCCCCCGCTTCCAACTATTGTCTCCTCACCCAGAAGGGAGCCCTTCGTTGCGTTATGCGTTTTGTTTAGCTTTTATGGATATAAGTTATTGGTATGGCCCTCTCTGATGTAATTGTTGTTTGACTATTATGTGATTTTTTTTGTGTTGCGTTGAAGTTTTAACTAAGGCTTATTATTAGTAAGTCTAGCTTCGTTATCATTGAGTTGTACTCGGTTAATATTATGGCTTCAATTAGATCAATCAGTCGAGTGGTATCATTTTTTTTTACCGATGTTATTTATATTGTCTTAAGTGAGTTTATATTTTTTAATTCGTTTTTTTTGTTTTTATTTAGCATATATTTGTTAAGGTGGGTTTATAATAATCTTGACCATTATGATTATGTTATTATCAAGAGTTGGTATTTCGTGTGCTGTATTAAAATCAAGTATTTGATTATTTCTACTAGAGCGCGATAATTCGTTACTTGGTAATTTTTCAGACGCCTACAATAATAAAAAAGAGTGCACTAAAATTACACTACATCTTGGATTTAAACATCTTGTTGGGTTGTGTGCTAAGTGTTTTGTTTTCTTCAATAATTAAGTCTAGAAAAAAAAGCGAGAAGGCCCCTTCTGCAGTTTGAGATTTTGACTTGTACTAAAACTTTAAGAGTAAAGTCTGCCTCATACTAGTTTTCATGTTTTTATAATTTTAACCTTTATCACATAAATGCGTTAGTGGGTTGGTTATATTCTTAATCCTTATAAGATGGTTAATGGTAAATGGCAATGTTAAGGCATAAGACCAATTATAAGTGGGTAATTTAAACTTTTTGAAATACATTCGGTCATATAATATAGTTCTCCAACGCTACTTTTAATTAACATATTAACGTGTGTAACTATAATTAAACTCAATTTTCTCTTTTAATATTAAGGCCATTAAGTAATAGAGTTTTTTGAAATCCAAAATTTGACACATAAATCAAAAAAAACACGAAACAAAATAATGCAATAACTAAAAACACGAAATACAACTAGCTAACTATAAATAAATTAATCATATAAGAATCAAACTGTAGGACAGGTAAGGGCAACCGAAAAACATTGCAAAAAACTCTATAAGGAATTAACTTCCGATCTACATTTAATGGCTACAACTTAATATATGCTTTTTATAATTTGGTAGGCCATACCACATGACATTTGTAAATAATTTTTTTTTTGTTATAAAGGGCACAAGTACAGAGCGATTGTTTATAATATAATTGTTTTTGTTCCCTATAAATCTTAATAAATCAATAGTTATTTTAGATTTTTTTTAGCAAAAAATACGTTTTTTTGTTAATGAACTGATCACTCACCACGGGATTTGAGGCTAGTAGACATAGCAATGATCGAATTACCATTACATTGTAGCGTTGTTTAGCGCACCAGTAAATAACAATGGTCATTTGTTTATCAACTATCACGTTATATGGTACAAATGGTATTCTCGAGAATATTCTAATCCGCACCATTATATATATATATACAGCTATTTTAATTCGAAAAGGTTTTTTTGCTCTCTCCCTTGTGTCGCTTTGTTTGTACTATGTTCAACTTTGGGCCCAAGTCTATAGGATTTAATTATTTGTAAAATGTGTTTTGAATTTCTGAAAAACAGGACTTCATTATATTCCAAGCTTATATCACATTTTTTAAAGTGAATGGTTTTTTTTCAAATTAGATTGTTTGTGAAATTAAAGATTTTACGCCGGTGTAAAATGCGTATTGGTTTTGTAAATACCGTTAATGACCTAGATACAAACACTTTCTTTTTATGGCTCAATTAATTGTTGCTTTATAGTCATTAAAATTTATAGTTAAATCATTTTTAACTAGTGTTTTGCAAGTAATAGCAATTTTTTTAATAGAGTATGAAAATTAGCCTTTCTGTTATCAATGAAAAGTTATATATAACCTGTTTTATTAAGTTATGGTGTTTTTTCAAGTTGTCTCATGCTTATCTTATCAAGCAATCTTTGGTCTGAATTATTATGCGGTTTATACTGCAGACTACAATAATTATGAGATGCTTGATTGCTTTCGCTATTGGTATTTTACAGAAGAATGTAGAGATAAATTGACTTCTTCTGGTATATATCTTTTTTTAGTCGTATGCTTCCATTATATAACCTGGTATCTTACGATAAAGGTGATAACTTTCTTCGCGCCAAAAAATGAACATTCGCATCAAGGGTGTAGAAAAGTATTTATTAGGGTAACAAGCTTATCGAAAGGCTAAATTTTCAAGTCGAAGAGGAAAATAAGATATGATGCTCTTCCATTAAGCGCGCGTTACCATTATTTCTTATCCACCTCCTCATGGGTGACCAAAGGAGTTTTTTAAAACCGAGGACAGCTTCCGCTGTGCCACCAGGGCCGACTAAGTAGGAGGCGTAACTTTTTGCAAAATGTGACTCTGCCAGCTTCCACAAAGCAGTGAGGTAAGTTTAACCCCCCTCTTTTCTAATATCAAATTACAATTTTTTAATGCCTAATTTTTTTGAAATCTGATCTTTAGCAACAACTTTAATACTTTTTCGTTTCTACGTACAGAAAAAATTTAAGTATATAAGTGATTTTTTCCTGTGAAATATACTATTTTAGAAACACTTGTTTGTAAGTAAAATTTAAGATTTGGGTTAATATGTAATTTATCATGTCGTGCATTATTAGTATTACGCTTTTTAATTATTTTATTTCTGGTTTATTTAAAAAAATGGCTTCACAGGAAATTAGATTTTTGAATTATCAGGGCAAAACTTAAACTGTAGCAAAAAAATTTTTTCTTAAATAGATTGTTCAAGCTTACTACTAATAAATTGTACACTACGCAAATGTTCTATCGTCCTTTTTCTATTTGTTATATAGTAACTTGAAATAATCTCAATTAAAATATTCTATAAATGGTAAAAGTATGAAATTTAAAGTGGTGCAATTTAAAACAGTAGAGCGTATCAACAATAATTTTAATTAAATGTATGGGTGCTTCCTAAATATAGATACCTGGGGAAAATACAATTTTTGTTTTTTTCAAATATATGGCAAAACAATTAAGGGCATTTTTCTTATGTAGGCAACTATTGCTTTATTTATTACTTTCTAGTGTATGCTAAGCTCTTTGCACAAACTTTATGAAAAGATATATTTTAACCTTGCATCCGCTTTTCTGTACTTCTTGTGATTAAACGAATGACTTTAACGAATGCTGGCTGTCATAATAGAGCGCAATTAAGCAGTTTCATTGTAATTTTAAAATCCTTTTTAAAATCCTTTACTAATATAATTCAGGTTTTAACTTTTGGAATTTCTATATCACAACCACAACTTTTTTGTAGACATAAGCCCGTTTCAAAGAT